AACTTCAAAGCAAAAAAAATTAGGCTAGGCTTATGCTTATGCTGTCAAGGTTAACGTGTATTCGGGAACCTAAGAAGCAATATTTTTCAGTGGGCGTGGCCACCGAAAATAAATTCCACGCCCTCTCATATTTTGGTACATACTACATAGACCATGTGTATGTATGCTCGTAGCCAGATTCTTCCAAGGGGGAGTGGGTTCTCTGGGGTCATTGAAACTACCGAAGCCAGAGAATTTGTTTTATGGGTCTAAAATGCTATAAAAGCAGATATGTTTGAAAAAAATCTGCAGCAAAACATTCTGTCTGAGTCTGGGTGGGTCTGCAGTACATTGTGGGTTTTAAGGACTTATTCAGGAAATCCAAAGGGAAGGGAAGATTGCCAGTAAAGAGGGAGGTTTGCCCAAGCCATAAAAATCCCTCCTGGCTACTGGCCTGGTATGGCGTGTGTAGTACTGTACTGTGTAGGATATGTAGCATACGTGAATGTACTGTAGAGTACACATACAAACGTATGCAAACTACATGAAAGCTCAACATACAGTAGTCACACATGCCCTTTTCACTATATCATAGTGCATCTGTGCAGTTTGCACATATACTGTACTGTGCTATGTGTAGTGTATTTTTACATGATGTGCCAGTTAATCTTTATACAACGGTGTGTAATTGGCACATCACTGTAGGTGTGTATTGAATGTAGCATACATAAACTAAACTACACTGCACAGACACATGGAAATTACTCTATGTAAAGGTGTACTACCACATGTAGACTACATAGTTGACTTGCGTTCTATAACAATAATTGTGCATGTTTACATACAGTTGGAAAGCATTGTGTTCCTGTTAATCATAAACTGTAAATGCTTAAATTGCTTCTTGTAGTAATAGCATCATGAAAAGACTTCATTTTGTTTGGCCTCAATCTTCCCTCTCTTTCCTTTAGTGTGATCTTTACACCCCACTTTCACATACACATCATATTACTGTGTTGTTAATACCCCATTCAGACTAGCATCGCATTGCAATCAGTTGTAGCGATTGCGACACCCAATCGCAAAGTAAAATTGTGTGTGAAAGCTCACTAATAGTAGTTGGTAAGTAATCGATATCACATTTGTTACCCCTTGCGATTGGGTGCTACAATCTTGTTACTCCAAATTACCACGGAATCTGTTGCAGCGAATCACAACAAATTCTACAGGCACTGTTTGGGTGAGGTCAGGCAACATAGGCCCTAGAATATAAAGTTTTTTGTGTTGGTCTGAATATGCTTGTTGATTGCGATTGGGAGTAAACAGTTTTGGATTACCACCCGTTACATCGCAACCATTCCCAACAGAGTGTAGTCTGAATAGGGTAACTCTCTTAAAAGGTGGGCTTCAGTCACTTTTCCATTGTCGTGTATTATCATCTGGTTTGGTGGTTTTATACCCAGCCTTGATGTATCATTTTCCTAAACCCTCTGCATCAAAGAAATCTAACCTTTTTCTTTACCAAAGCTCAAACATCCATCGTTTTTAACTTTTCATTTCATTCCTCATTTACTATAAAGTATTCCTAATAATTGTCCCATTTTTAAGACTTGCTTCATTACTAAGATTTTATTAGGTTTTTCTATTAAATTTGTTCCGAGTATCTGTGATTATTCTGGAAAACAAATTGCAAGTGTGGAATTTCCTAACTGTTATCACACATTCAATTTTCTGTCATCTTCATAATTTCTTTGTTTCTTATTGTCTCTTCCTTCTAACATCTATTAAAACAAGTTTTTTTTATGGCATTTCTATACAATGATTATTATCCCATTATAATACTATGAGCAGATAATGATAAGTATGTACAGTACATGAGAACAATACAGTCATTATTATTCATACTTAACTAGTAATGAGAGCAAACCTGGCATTGTAATGTTTATGACAGTCGGGTGAGTTCGGGTGGACATGCTGAAAACAAGCCATTATTATGTTTCCTATTGTTACAATCAATACCGATAGTTTAAAATTTGTATGCACCTACTGTATAGTAGGCCTATACATCTTTGTATATTTTTTTTACCATCTAAAGGGAGTAACAGCAGTGACTTGAATGAGATTACCATATTAAGAATTTTGGATTTTTAATCTGGTAATTTTTAATCTCACCGGATAATTGTTGTCTACAACAATGTTTGTTTTTGGGGTACTTGAGAACTTCACCCGGAGCTATGCTTATTTCCCTGTGGCCTGCGAAGCAAACTCTTTCTTTATGAATTCAGTAAAATCTGTTTCAAATTCTTGTTAATGCCTTAATTAATAATTATAATTTTGTATTTAATGAATCGTTTGAAATATGAGGAGGAAACAATTAATCAGTACAGTACCGGAAGGAAATCTTCAGAAGTTATTATTTAATGTTAACTACAGTTTTATTATTAAAAGTAACACTAGCACTGTATGTACAGTAAAGTATGATTTTAAATAGTTGATGTAAAATTGCTACATAACTTTGTCAAATTCATTAATAATGTACTAACAATATGAACTATGCAAATAATTAATAAGTTATTATATATAGAGTATTTAATTATGTTAATCTGTTCATGATTCGAACCCATGCACCACATTCCATTAGCAAAATTAGTGTGTAAAACAAGGATGTAATAAATATATAATTTTTTAGCATACAGTAGAATGCTATGGTTTTACACTCTTTATATAAATTATAAAAAATTAAATTATATAGATAAAACTAGCAAAGTAAAAACAACAATGATAATACTGTAAATATAATTGTCTGTGATACATAGGCCTTTGTTTTTTTAACAGAAAACACAATAATGATATTCTGTTACCTGTATTATACAACTAGATGACAGTAAATTAAATAATTTTTGTGCTTATGATGGTACAGTATCTTATCATCTGAAAGACTGTACAAGAAATTTGGCCATGCCTTTGCATTAACAGGAAGTTAGACCTTGACTTGCCCTGCCCGAATTGATTCGGCCTGACCTTGGCTCCACTGGATGGTAGATGTCTACAGTTAGGCATTTCTTTACCTTGCATGGAAAATGATATTAGAGCTGTGAACCAAAGAGTATAAAACTGCAAGAGGTCCGACTGCCGGGGATTCGTTTGAACGCAAAAAGTACTTCCACGAAGGGGCGTGGCCTTTAAAAGATTTGAGCAACGCGTGCGATTTCCTAAATTATGTGTAGGGCGCCCCCTATTTCGTGGCAGTACTTTTAACCTTCCATTGCCTGCATACCTTGCTGCATACAAAATCAGGGGCAGTCGGACCTCTTGCAGTTTTATACTCTTTGTTTGAACTAAATTCATAGCTGCCCAGGGCTATCCAACCTTATTTGACCCCCATCTGGTATTTTTGCAACCTAAATGAATTGATTTGGTGCGGTGTATGTGTTTCGGTTTTCCAACGGCAACCTGAAGGTCGAGATTTCAATCCCACACTGCATTTCATTTGTCGTTGAGCAAGGCACTTTATCTGTATTGCTTTTCTCTAGTCAGGAGAATGTGCCCAGACAGTACTTTAGACATGTGGACCCATACCAGGGGAAAAAGGCGCTATGTAATCATAAGAAAAAGCACTATCAAATGCAACTGACCAATAACAGATAACAAATAATCAACTACTGTAAATATGAGAGAACTTGAATTGTACTACAAAGGCCTATGTATAACAGATAATTATATTATAATATTATCATTGTTGTTTATTATAATTCAATATTCTGGTGTCATGAAAGTAAACAACAGTTGAAAATTTGATGTTGAAATGAAAAGTTTGTATAATTGATCTGAAATAACAATCAGACACTGTTCAACCTGTTATGAAATTGTTTATGAGTTTATTCAACCTTGAATTGAATAGAAGAACATTATAAATTAGTGAATACATATTGTATGTAAATAGAAGATTATTTCTTATTATTTCCTTGCTATCCCATATCGAATTCTTTTTTGGGTGGCCTCCGTGTTTATTTTTACAAGGCAATGTACACAAAAATCCTATGGAAATACAATCATCCTTAAAAGCATCATGTATATGTGGGAGCGAAAGCTTCACAGAGTCATACAGTACAGTTCATACAGCTGGTAATTGTGTACTATGGTAATCTTTGTGAAGAGCAAAATGGAAATGAGGTGTCATGCCTTTACTGGAAATTGAAAATAAGGTTTTTTTTTATATTTAATTAATTTATTGATTAATTTATTTATTGAACCTCTACTATATCTTGTTAAATATGGTAGACAGCATCTAATAATAATTTAATTTGCATTATTCATTTTGTTTATAATAATTGCTCTGATTTGTTTTTTTTTATTAGCATTATCAGTTATTGTTTCTGTTATTTACTTATAAGTGAACCCTTGCAGTTATATTTCTATGAAAAATGAATTTTTAAAATGACAATAAATTATACTGAATACTAAATACTAAATTCTGTTGTTGTAATATCATTATTATTGTTTTTATTATTATTACTTTATTAAACCTTTGCAATAAAAGATAGCATCTTCTATTGTATCAGCATCATTATTTTTCATATTCATTTTATTTAAATAATAAATAAATTGAATATATAATTCAATTTTGTTTGCAGCAACTAATGATCAGAAGCTATACATTGCTCTGTATAATTATGAAGCAAGAACAGACGGGGATCTAACTTTTCAGAAGGGGGACACCCTTCATGTGTTGGATGACAGGTATGACAAATAATTGGTTAATTGTTTTGATAGTAATTTACCTTCAACCATCATTTTCATCAATGTCATTATTATCATAATCGATGTGGCCATGTATCTCAGTATTCTGTCCTGTATATCCAGGGTCGCATATCAACTAGCTCTATTGAATTTCAAAGATTATTCCTTTTTATTGACACTGCCATTTTTTTTCTGTATTGTTTAGCCATAATTATGTTGACTAAATACAGTATATACATTATTGGATTGGATTGAAATAGAATCAATTTCGAAAGTTAAAAAGACATGATGACATATGTAGAATAGTTCCATTCCTATGGTATACAAACATCAGTGTATCATCATAGACATTATTTTTCTGTCAACCAATATTAAATAGAGTAGAATTTTAGTATGTAAACAATTGATACTAACATAAAATTTAAGGGGAATTCCCCGAACACTGTATTAATAATAGTGGCGGTGCTAGTAGGGGCTCCAGAGTGGCAAAGGACCCCTGTCGGGGACCTCTGGACCCCCACTTGGACCCCCTGTTGGGGAATTTTTGCCCCTTATTTTCCGAAATTCGTTGACGGATTTCTGTGCTAAATTTTTGACGTGGAGGATATATTCCCTGCGCAGGTCTTACTATACAGTCTGACAGTGGGGGAGGGGGTTTTTAACATGAAAGATGAGTGCAAGGACCTCCAAAGAAGTTGATATAATGGAATAACAAGTTCTACGTAAATAATAATCCTTGGTTTTTTAGTGTTAATTCACTTCTGGGAAAAAGTGCTATCATTTCTTGTTAATTTGGGCACAAAGATGAGGAAGTCATTACACACATTTTATATAGTTGGATAAACATAACCTGTGAGTGACCCTGTAAACACAAACTCATAAACTGTGAACTCATGATGCAATCAATAAAGAATATTTGTGGCTAGCGAATTTTTGTAATGTGATAAATATATAATAATGAAGAATTAAGATTATTGAATATGATAATGAAAATAAGATTAGGCAGGTTTTTAAATAGATGGAGTATTCTGTTCTGCACTCTAAACCTAGCTCTGATTAGCTCTACTTTCTGCTCTCTTATTTCCTAATATACTTCTTCCATCCTTCCTTCCATCCATCACATTTTTTGCCATTTTTCTCATCTTTTTGTCTATCTTTACTCACTTTCATCCTTTTCTTCTCTTTTTACTTCTCATTTCCTGTCCTATATTTTTCCTTGTCCTTCTTTCCTCCTTTTCTTTCCAACATTTTTAAAGCTTCATCTTCCTGTTTCCTTCTTCCTAACTTTTCTTTCCATTTCATTCATTCATTCCTCTCCTATTCCCTTTTCTCCTCTCTGTTCCATTTCTTCCTCCTCTTTATTTAATCATTTTATTCCTTTCTACCAATCTTTATTTTGTTATTAGCATTCTATCCTCCCTCTCTATCTTTCATCTTCATTTCCTTCCATCTCCTCAAACTTTTTCCTTCATATATATCCTCCTTCTCCCTGTTCAATTACTTTTCAATTCCTCTGCTAACCTCATCTTCCTCCTTTCAATCCTTCCTTCCTTCAACTTCCTGCCTGTTCTTTATCCTACCCATTGACAATGACTACCTATGTTCATGCTTAACTGTATACAGACACAAATTTACACTGAATACATCCATTTGTTGCTTTTTTTTTTTTACAGCAAAGGGGATTGGTGGTTGGCAAGGTCTATTAAAACGCAACAGGAAGGCTTTGTTCCAAACAACTATATTGCAGCACTAAAAAGTTTAGAGTCAGAAGAGTGAGTATACATTTTGATGTGCTTGTTTCTCTTATTTAGTATCTTTGTTCATGAACTGAATAAGGCATCAGGATATCATGTGATTTACTTTTTAAATACTTATTTTATATTTTGTTATAATTAAAATAAAAAGCTTTGTCTACTGTATACTACATCAAGCTCCTGTCTCTTATACACATCTAGATGTGTATAGCAAAACAATTTAAAATTAAAACTGAACAATAGAGCAAATCCGATCAGAATGACAAAATAAACTAAGCATCCACTGGAAGGAATCCCAATATCTGCCTTCCAGGCCTCATCAGTGCAGCTAGGGTACAGACCCAAACGAAACGTTCGACCAGCTTAGGTAGGGCCCAAACTAGTCCCACAAATACTAATGATTACATAGCCAAACCAAGGCAATATATATACACAGCCCAGGTGTGAATGCAAATAGTGGAATACAAGCTATGTGGCTCGGTTCCAGTAGATACAGAGAATATTTTGTCTTCCTATTTATTATCCTAAAATATAGCCTTGACCAGTCAGATACCATTAAATTCAATTCAATCACATTCGATCAAATCAAATACCTTCTTGTTTCCTCTCTTTCTTTTTAACAAAATTAATGTCGTCATAATACCTCAGCAACATAAAGCAAACAAATGCCAATAAATGCCAGGCACTTGTGGGAAGATTACATTCATTATTGATAATGTTGAACAGAGGTTCATTGTTGACTCATGCCAAAATCCTTATTAAATGTTTCTTTCTCATGTAAAAATCACACAATGGCCTGGCCTAGCTTCGATTGTAGTGATAAGCATCAAACCCTCATATTAAAGGAATCCATGCTAAAGGAGTGCAACATATCAACTGCCCTACAATATCTCCAGCTACAGAGGTGTTTAGATTGAGCCTCCTAAACACGTTGCTTTTACCGCTGACATAGCGCTTCATGCCATACGTCACAATTTTGAAGTTTTTGTTGTGTGAAGCACGTCAAGTCCTAAAAAATCTCCACGGAGAGGTTATATCTCACAACCTCAGGTTGTTCTCACAGATGTCATGCATGCTGTATCAAGCATGAACAGTATCCTAAAGATAAAGCATTAGGTCCTCCTAGGCATGAAATACGTCATAACGTTTACCATCAAGCCCTACTGTACGTAGCGATGCACAGTAACAGATGTAACCAGATCTTTACTTACTGTGTCGTTGCTGTGTCGTTTGAGATAGAACATATCTAGTCCCTGATGTATTTTGATCCAAATTCACAACTGTGTGTTATGTCAGTATACATAATTCTGTGTTGTATTTCCTTTTTGTTTTAGTATTCCTAAAGCTTCATCCTTCAACTTTTAGTTATTTCCTTGTTGTTTTAAAATTTATAAATTGTAATTTGTAATTTTTATCTAACCCTTCAGTATTATACAGTGTCTGCCACTTTGTATCCTCTGGAAAAATCACAATACTACCAAATTTGTGATCATTATATTTTTTATATTATATCAACACTGCAGTACCCGCTGCTTACTTGGACTCGAATTCAACCCTGGCCATCAGACGCAAGCTCGGTGTCTAGAGGTATGATGCCAGGCTAGTGATCTGGAGATCATGGGTTCGAGTCCCACCCGAGAACAACTTGCGATTTTTTTCACAGTTGTTTTCAAATGTACTGAGTATTTGGTACATTTCCACGTCAGATAGGGCAAAATTACACCTATACATGTTTCTCCTGACGCAAATCCAGTTATTGTCTATTATTCCATCACGACAATAACAATTACTATATATTTTTTAAATTAACAGAAATTGCAATGTGTAACACATTTATAATTATTCTTTTCCACTATATTTCTGCTGTTTCTGCTAAGTCTGTGTGTGACTTGAGTTTTGAATGGGATATCCCCTGCCCGTATCAGGAAGTTTTTACTCATTTTTATTACGTTAATTTCGCTTCTGATAACAGCTAAAATTAAGGGCATATGCCATGACTCAACAGTGTTCTTCACCCAAGGATCGTTCACAGACCACACAGCTAAAATCCTTGTCTAAGATTTGCTGGATGTGTCACACATATTTCTGATAATATTAATTATGATTTAGACTGGTTATGGAGCTCAAATACAAATGTTTACAAGTATTATTTCAAAAAAAAATTACATACAAACATTGATTGACTTTTTGATTACAGTTTTGATTTGTATCAAGAGAATTATGAAGGTTGTAAAGGAAATAAAGAAAATGAACAAAGGCAGTGTTTTTTTTTTTCATAGAACTTCTTACTTGGCATTTGAAATTTAAGATTAGATGACTTAAGAAGAAAGGAAAGTGGCCTTTTCTGTTCTTCCTGCTGTACTATGTATTTGATAAGTTTAAGCATGCAACAAAATCATTTGATAACATGGATATTTGGCATTTAATTAAAAATAAGCGTAAAATATTTTAACACAGTATAGGTAAGCTGTTACAAACAGAACTGTTCAATAGACTTCTGTATCACCAAAATATTTTATGATGCTAATGAAATGCAGAGCTGATTACTTGCCTACTCTTGATCCTCTATCATATTTGTTTTATGATAATAGTTGGGGAATTGTATATTATCACATAAAACATGCCCTCTGTAATAGTGATGAGACAAAATAGAAAATAATAAAATTATCCATTTTAATAAGACTAGCCAATTGAACTCCCAAAAACCACCAGAAACAGCCTATTGCATGAAACAACATTGAATTCTCATGTGAAGGTTATTCAAGGAGCCAGAGCGATCTGACCCCAATTAAACCCCAACGCTGGCCGGGTCTGAACCGGGGTCTACAGTGCAAGAAGCAGGAACATTACAAGCAAGCAGTGGTTTATGAGGCTTAGGGAATGGAGAAATGATCCCTTATACCCTACTCTCACATCATTTTATCAGGCTTGGAGATTTGAGGCTGGTTATTTGTACCCACAATACACTGTTAAATCTTTTTTATGAGGTTTGGAGAGTGAAGATCTGTGTGAAGTTTATGAAAGAATTAGAGATCTGATCAATTGTACCTTTGAGGATTTGTCAAATCCCAGTTACGACATTTGGGAAGTGGAGATCTGATCATTTGCACTGTCAATACTTTAATATCAAATCTCTTTTAAGTTTTGTCCGTTTTTTGTTTGTATCCGTTTGATGTTTATTTAAGGCATTAATTTATAAGTTAGCACCGGACCTGCTTTACAGGCATTGCCTTCTTGGTTTCGGTATTGTACCATAGGTGGTGGAATGAATAAAGTTTATTATTATTATTGTTGTTGTTTATAAGTTTTATGGATTGGATTCCTGATCAGGTGCACTCTCGATGCTAGGTATCAATCTCTTAGGAGGCTTGTAGGGTAGAGAACAGATCATTTGCACTCTTGATGCTAGGAGAGCTTATCATCGCCACCACTCTGCTCTACCACATCATTTATGCCCTTTCCTCTATCATGCCAGCTATTTTTACGAGGCTTGGAAAGTGGAGAGCTCAGCCCACGAATTTCACGTCGGCAATTGCCGACCATATTGCTGAGCCAGAATTGCTACGGGACAGCAATTTTTTGCCGACCTAGACCTAGATTTCTTTGCTTCAAAAACTTCTTGGAAAGTCAAAAACTTTGACTGAAGCAGGCTATAGCAGACACTAAATTTCATGTACGTTGTCAAACCAAGGAAATTGGTGGTTTATAAAACAGATTTGTTTGTACAATAACTATTTCTAATAGGCATGCAGTACGTATGATTTGTGTACAGTCGTCTTGTCTTTCGTAGGCTAGGCCTAGGTAGGAATGATGCTAGCCAGCCAAGGCCTACAACATCGCCCAATTGAAGATCGTAATGCTTATCTAAATCTATTGTCTTCATTTAACTGTATTATTATCATATTTAAAATGTTGTTTATTATCTAAAAACAAAATTCAACATTTTGTAGGCCTAATCCTACCGTCTGTTTAAACGCAATCACGATCGCATCGGGACTTCACTACTGACAAGTACTGTACATGCGTGGAAAATCCCTGGTAGATCATTCTGGGCATGCGCATGGACATGCATGGGTAGTTTTCAAGCAGCCTGTGATGATACGATCGTAGCTTTTACGAAAGTGATATTTCCCATGCCAAAGGTAACGATAAAACGAACGCTAAAACAAAATTTATTCGGCGATTTTCTTATGTAAAACATATGTATTATACTACACTATTAAATTAATACAAGCACGACCATTCTTTCACCAGCAATATATTGATTTAATAGAGAAATTAACAAAATCACAATCTGTAGATGACAATGTAAGGTCGAGCGTTCGGAAAAATCGTAGTTTATACTACAGAATATAGGCCTAGGTAGTAAAAAATTGCTGAAGCTGCCGAAAATTTAAGGTCGGCAAATTTTTGCCGACCTAATTCTTTCCTAATTTCATGGGCTGAGAGCTGATCATTTGTATCCTCAGTGACTGATACCAAATATCTTTAATGAGACATGTAAATGGAGAGCTGATCAGATCTAATGTGTCTTTGATGCTATATCCAACATACTGTATAATAATAAGAGCAATATAGTTTGTTAAAAATACATAAGAAAGTTCTTAAAAGGTGAATAAGCAAATGAAATTAATAAATATGGCACAAATGAAACCACCAACTTAATAGTACATTGACAGCAGACTCTATTCGTAGTTTATTGTCAAGGATTACAATGCTCTGTCACTAGAAAAGAATCGATTCTGATGGCAGGAATAACAAATCAGACCTGAGCCTCCTACAAGAATTGAAGCCCAGTGGGCTTAATCTCGAGATGAAGCCCATCTTGAATTGAAGCCCCCCCTCCCTCTTTAGTTTGCAAAATCAGCCTCGAAAAGAAGCCCATCTCGAAAAGAACCCCATGGGCTTCTTTTCAAAATAGCATAGGCTTCTTTTCGCGATAGTACTGTGCATGAATTTCAGAAAACAAAATAAATTAAAACAAGCTTGGTTTGTACATTAGTTTAGGTGATTTATTGCCAGTTAAATACACTCCATAATACAGATTGATGTTACATTAACCTTATTTATTGTTTAATTGTAAAAATTCACAAAATTTACAGCATTCATTTTAAAAAGAAGCCCCCTCTTTACTTTGCAAAATTAGTCTCAAAAAGTAGCCCATCTCGAAAAGAAGCCCATCCAAAGTTCACAAAAAAAAGAAGCCCAGTGCTTCATTTGAGGTTTTACAGCATACAGTATGCATGAATCAATATTTTATTCTCTGCTGATCCGGTTACTATAAGCAGCTTGTGAATTAAAGGTCTATAGGCATGTGCAAATAAATGATATTTATTAAAATAAGAGCGGTTTGTCGCAGGACTTGCAGTTCTGATTCTTAACTTTGAGGTTGGAGGTTGAATCCCTCCCTGTGAATTTCGCTTGTGTCCTTAGGCTAACACTTTACCTACGGTTTTTTTCTCTCTACCTAGGAGAGATTCAAACAAAAAATGTGCTGATTACAGTCTGCAAAATTAAGCCTAAAAAAATTAATTGTTTGCTTGTCCTTTATTGCTGAATATTAGTATAGGAGGGGTGGGTGCGAAAAAGTTTTTTTTTTACTTGTTTTTTTTCTCCTGTCACCAAAATTAACATAATTAAATTGCAATGCTTGCAATTAAGCCTGTCTCACTTTGTTTTTCAAAGGATATTCATCAAACTGAATAAAAATAACTCATAATCGATATTTTGCAACAAATTTAGGCCTAGAATGGCGATACCTTACATCAGACGCCAAACTTACGACAACGTTGATGTGCAAATCAGAGAAAAATAAAGATTACTTTATGAAATTGAAAAAAACTCCTAACTTTTTAAAAAACGCCGCCCCTTTATTTTCCGTGAGCTAGGAGCGGGGGCTGGAGGGCAAACAAACAATTTTTTTAGGCCTTATGGAATTCTCACCCTGGAAGCAGAGTATGTGTTCCATATGTGCTTCATCAAGTGACGGGGAAAGTGGGTGGGGGGATAATAATGTGAAGCGCTTAGAGGTCTTGTTGGCATTAAGCACTATATGAGTCTAACATTATTATTAAAATTAAATTTACGAGACATTACTTTTCTTGAGCTTAAATTACTCTCACCACAAGTTATAAACTTGGTACCATACAGTACATAAAACATAAACCTACACTGTATTTGTTCCACCCCTTCTAAAACTGACACAGCAAAGCAAAGCATCAAATAAGTCTCGGATGATTGCATCTGGATCAACTGAAATCTGATTTCGTAAAGAATTTTATTGGTTGTATCTGTGTGAATTGTAAGCATTGTAATCAGCCATACTTGTACTTTAATAGTACAGTACATTGCATAAATTGGGATTGATATCCTTTTCACATTCAAATTGACTATACATGTAATAACAATAGTAAAAGCTATGTGGATTTAACTTCCTGGTGAATTTCTTTTGTTGCTCATTTCCTAATTCGGAATACAGTGTCATATGTGTGGTATTTTTTAGTTTAATGTTACCATTTTGGTTTTGTAGTTTTATTTTCAGGTATGTCATTGATATAAATCTAAATTACTACCTAACTAGTTAAAAATTAATTTGAAATATAGTGTTTCAGAGCTTGTGATTTGAGGTGAGTGATTGCAGTCCCAGACCTTCCCTCATCTAACTCTTTTTCACAAGTGCAGTGTTCTCCCAAATAAAAAAATTTTGCTGGTAAATTTGTCCATATAAAGCCAGCTAAGCGCACGCAAAGTGAGGTATTGCCTTTTTAAGTGGAGTTCAATGGCTTCAGAAAACAATACATATAATCATAGCCTAGGCCTGGACTGGAATGATGTTCATAAGAAGGCCAGCCTAGACTACCTAGGCCTAATAAGTACTTTTTTATTCTACCAACACAATTTTTATTGGTTGGTCAGTTATTTTTAACTGATAAAATTGATGGCTAAAACGGCTTCGGGAGAACACAGCAGGTGTGAAAAATAGAGCACCTTGGGTTTGAAAATTACTTGCCTTAAATTAGTAAAAACCCCAAATATTGGGGCTGTGTTTTCTGCTAGGATATATTTTGTGTTGCTTTGAACTGCAGTAATAATTACGTGTATAAAACTATTCCACAGAGACTTAATTTCCCCCTCCCTAAATCTTCACTCACCTAAACAAAATTAGGTTTGTGTTTGTTAGCTCGCTTGTCATTTTGAAATAACAAGCCCTGGAGTCTATGTTGAGCCAATACTTGAAAAAAATTTGTTCCATTATTTGAATTGCTTAATTTGGTTGATTATTATTTTAATTTATTTAAATAATAAAATACCATTTTTTTTTATGATCATCTATTTATACATTCCAAGGACCCTTGTTTTTAACTATATTTTCTTATTTTTTTAAATGAATAGTAGTTATAATATGAAAACTTAACATCCTATCACAATTAGTTTAAGGCTGGTGTAACAATAGCCATTGCCAAAATAAAATGGACTCCTATCACAATTAGTTTAAGGCTGGTGTAACAATAGCCATTGCCAAAATAAAATGGACTATTAAAAATATTGACCAATAAATTTATTATCTAATGGCATATAGTAGTTTATGTAAAATATGAACTAGCTTTATTTATATAGTTAGTTATTTTTTTCCAAGATATAGCTTTGTTGTGTTTTCACCTGACGATGATAAACAAAATGTGATCAAACCTATCATTATTGGCTTGATTTCATGGACAAAGATTTATAAAAATGACCGTAAAATACATATGAGGCTTAGTACCAAAGAAAATTTCACCAATACTTATTTTAGTATTTACTCTGTTTATCCTGTTAATTTTTTACAGATGGTTCTTTGGCCGGATCAGTCGTGGAGACGCTACCAACAGGTTGATGCAAGCAAGACTTCCTAAAGGATCTTTCCTGGTCAGAGAGAGTGAAACAAGTTTAGGTATTGCAAATCTTACAAATATTTCTAAAATACTATAATTTATTAATATTAAGAATAATATTATATTTTCCTCCTGATGTCAGTCAGATTATTCAAAGCGTTATACATAATAAGGAATAAATTACTCAAATAATAATAACTACTAGAATTTAAAAATATTTTTTTATTTATTCTTTTGATATAATCTTTAGTGTGATAGGTTAATACTATTGCCAGGCAGCCAGAATTTTGTAGTGAAACAAACATCTGTATCTTGAGTAATATGCCTCTATCTATTTCAGGAAATCATGCTCTGTCTATACGAGACATCGATGAAAATGGGCCCAACATCAGGCATTACAAAATAAGACGGCAGAAGCAGACAGCTTACTATTACATCGCAAGAACTAAAGAGTTCCGTACGATTCAGGAGCTAATCCTTCACTACCGAGGTAAGGTTCGCATTATCAGCTCAACGTTGTTACAAAATTTAGCCCCGATATTTAAAGATACTCTTAGATTGTAGCTGTAATGTATTGAGTGGAGTTGCAGTTGCTAGTTAGGATGTACATCTTGAATTCTATAGCTAGGCCTCCCTGAAGTCTAGGGCTAGGCTCAGCCTGCCCACCTGCTGGTACCATACACCATTCAACAGCAAGATATTGCAAGATGTTTTGAAAAAATAATTGTACAAAAATAAAACCAATATACGTGCAAAACCTATCAAAATGTATTTTCAGTAATAAAACAAAACCTCTAAAAAGGTACTGTAGTGTATTGTATGCATGCGTATTAGAAACAATAAGTCAGATAATGCAGTGATTGAATGTTGAAGAATTATGAACTGATGAGGAATCTGCTGACCAAGATTATAAATTGTTATCAATACTACCAGACCGCAAAGGCTCTGTGTTGTGTGTTGAATCTGGTCATATCGAATTATCAGCAGAGATTGAAAGTTTTTTCATTTTTCGCATTTTCATGATCAGGATGGCAACTTTGACTGTGGATTAAAACACCAAGCCAGATTTCCAAAGAGATCAACCATCAAAGGCTTTGTGTTGAATCTGGTCATATCTAAATATCAGCAGAGATTGAAAGTTTTTTCATTTTTCGCATTTTCATGGTCAGGATGGCAACTTTGACTGTGGATTAAAACATCAAGCCAGATTTCCAAAGAGATCAACCATAAATTAGTTTAAGGAGTAGGAGTTCATTTAGGCACACATTATTTTGATATTTATTTTTTTAACCTATATTACATTGTGATGCTCATAGAGGTCATGACAATATGCGCCACAACAATTATTATTTTATTATTATTATTATTATTATTATTATTATTATTATTATTATTATTATTATTATTATTATAATGCTACTAAAACCTACATTATTTGGAACTTAGAAAATGGAGAAATTAGAGAACAATTAAAAAAACAATGTTAAGGGGATAATAGCACAAAAGATATTCCCCTTAATTCTGAGTTAGTGCTAGTTATTATTTTTATTATGTAAATGAGAACATCTCAAGTAACATTTTAGATAGTGTAATTAATGAGTACGGTTGCAAAGAATTGCAACAGAAAATGAATCTGACCAATAATGAAACAAAAATTTAAAAGGAACCAGTTTTCACAAGAAGTCAACTACAACAGTTATTTTACAACTAGGCACCAATGGTTTTAGGGTGTTGTTTGTTTGTTTGTTTATATTTTGAATCCATCAATGACACAATACAACATACAATAGGACAGAAAGAAATAAACATGGGTAGATTTGGGATAACCAATTAATCCTAAAAAAAGTTTAGTATCCTTTGGGGTACCATTAGTTTCTATTGGGGTCCCATTAGGGTGAATGCCAATAGCAATTGAAAGCATTCATTTCTTAGCATTTCTTACATTGCAGGCAGAATAGAATTAATGGATGGGATGGTCAGAGAACTATAGTTATAATAAGAATTGGAGAATTTTTGGATTATTTGACTGATTCATTATTTGTTTTGATTGATTGGTTTATATTAATCATGTATATTTATCAGGAGTGTCATCAAGTAGGGATACGAAGACTATTTATCGGGTCAACAGTAAATACTATGTTTATCGTTGTCAAACCATGCCAAAGCAACTGAGTAAACATGCTCGAATGTTTAGGACAAACCCAGGTGACAATATTCAAATTTATGCAAATGACTTTGCATGATTTGTATAAGTAATTTGCATATGAAAATCTCATTTTTAAGATGATTACTAATTTGCTGGATGCAAATTCAAGGATTACAATATAATTATTATCTTTAATTGTGGATGCTGCATATTTTAAAATGAAAATCGGAAATTTCGTTATTCAAGGTGTTGATTTGTCATGCTGGATGTGAAATAAAGCTTGCAGTTACCATGGCGATGAGGGGATGCACTGGCTCCGCTTTCTGCTTCATGGCTGCATGCTTCCCATGGCAGCTTGTTGCCATGGTGACATGCTGCCTGTTGCATGTTGGCGAGCATGTGCATCCTTGTTACAAAATTAATTTAATTAATCAAATCGAACGTCTTAATTAGAAGAAGCATGTTATTCTGGGTGTTGTCTTTGGGTTTTTAATTAAAGGTGTTTTTTTTTTAATCCTGTTTAAATTTGGTCATTATGTTTATTTGACATAGCATGTTTGTTCTGTCAGGACACTAATCCAAAAATGATATTATTTTTATGACAGCCGTGAAATATATCGAACAATGATTTAACGTTCTAAACTTATTCTTTTTTTCAGGCCAAGCAGAGGGCCTTTGTTGTAAGTTGACATCACCGTGCACACGTGAGACATCAATTATCCCATCGTTCAGGGATGCATGGGAAATTTCGCGGCACGAGCTGTCCTTCGAACAGAAGCTCGGTGCTGGGCAATTTGGTGAAGTATGGAAAGGTATTGAAATCTTTCTGTCTTTGAGATGGCTTACAGCATGGTAGCTGCCAGGTGTTTACTGAACAAGACTAACCCTTTGGTGCCTTGTTCAAATCCTTCTGCAGCTCTTCCTGTGCTTTATGTGCCTTAGCTAGGGGAATCGATATGAAACTGTTTTTCAGAATAGCTGTTTTCAGCCTTCGGTCTTGCATTCAAATCCATATTTATTTTACTCAATGGCCGTATTTGACTGGTCATTCTTCATTAAACCATGCCTGTCTGCGCAGTGGTCAAATCCTACTTACGAAGACGACGAAATGAATAGAAAACTGGTAAATACTTGACAAAACAAAATGGCTGCATAGTTACCACGATACACGAATCAAGATTACTTTGGCATTTGGCAATATGAGTTTTTTGTAAAAAGATTTTTTCATGTAGTTTTTAAATTCTTGTAAGCCTACAATTTTTTTTTTATTCTTTTTTTTTTTCAGTTTCAGTTTCTTTTATTCAAATAAAAATCATAACCAAGGCTGAATTATATGACATTTACAAAAAAATGTAGGCTAACATTAAAACATCAATCAAACACAAGCACAAGACATGGAAATAAAAGTAACATTAAAATACATTAAAATTTGAAACATCAGAAGTACACAACGGGTTTAAAAAACATGTAAGTAATAAAAACAATTATTTTTTTATTATCAATTACTTATTTATATGGGAAAATATAATCATTATATTCTGAAATCTAATCTAAATTATATTAACACATATTTTGACCAATCAGCCATGTTTGTTTTAGTCATGTGGATAACATATTGCAAATATATGTTATCCACTCTATTTTACGAACCAGCCGAATGGAAATAGTACTCAACGGAAAATCGTGGTTAATGAAATGAACTAGTTGAATACGGTCAATACCTCTCTGTGAATCATGTCAACATATTCTTTTTAGCTAAAGCTACAGTAGGTAATACCAATACCAGCCAAAAATAGTGCCTTTTATCAGATGCTCCTTACATACAAAAATGTGTTGCATGCTTTTTTTAATTTGGCTGTTGACCCCTTGCCATAACATACATTTTTATTCTCTTGTGAAAATGATGAAAAAATGAGAAAAAAAAAATTAGGCGGTGATTAGTGGGCCCTCTCTCAAACTCAACCTTACTGCAAAAAAATAGTCCCAGGCTAGTGTAACAAATAGTTTATATCAACATTATAAACTGAACAGGGTGGTGAAACTGAACCATTGATAGGGAATTTTGCTTGTGCTATGATCACCACAATATATTTATAATTGAAACAAAAAAATCTTGATTGCTGTTTCTGTACTGGCACTTCCATTGTTGGTTTTGTTCTTTTAAATCATGATTTACCACTCAAAGTTAAAAAATATAGATGATTGTAATTTACAGTGAAGTACTGAAATAACCATCTTTTCCTTCACCTCTGTAGGATTTTGGAAGGGGACTACCCCCTGTGCCATCAAGACACTGAGGGCGGGGACCATGTCCCCGGAGGCATTCCTTGCTGAGGCCAACATCATGAAGGAGATGAGACATGAGAAGTTAGTGCGGTTATATGCTGTATGCTCAGATACTGTAAGAATTGACTTTATTATCTTTGCTGTTCATTTTCCATTCTCCTACATCCTCCCCCCCTCCCCCTTCTCACCTTCATCTGCTTCTTAATTAACTATATAAATTAATTTATTCCTAGGAACCTATATACATTGTAACCGAGTTGATGAGCCATGGTAGTTTACTAGATTACTTGCGAGGAGATTTATCGTTGCACCTTAAACTCCGACATCTGGTAGACATGGGGGCTCAGGTGAGTCAGCTGTTTTTAAAGTTGTAAATAATCATTTTAAAGATTCTAGGTATTTTCCAAATTACATTGCTGTATATATTTTTTTAAATGCTGTTTTGATAAATATGCAAACTGTACTATTGTGTTTGACAATTGTATGATAATTGAAAAGTAGATCTTTTTAAAAGGTACGAGATAAAATTTATTGTCTCCAGTTAAAATAAACAAAGAAATTACAATGCTCACAAAAAGAACAATTACAAGAAAATCACATTGGAATTGGTCAAGGAAAGAAAAGAATCAACATCAAAATTCCATCAAAAAGAACAGAAAAATTTAAAATTATGGAAGGCCTACAATATGTAAAAGTACATCAGTTTATTTGTGTATAAGGTTTAATTATGACAGCCGTTTAGAGTTCCATTTAAATTAATTAACACAGTGCATGACAACAAACCACATTAGATTTCTTCTAATGCAATATTATTAAAAAAAAGTATTCTGGTACTGGTACAGGCATTTATAATGCGCCTCTTCCTTGCAGTTATAAAGCGCAGTTCCTTTCCCTGGTCATTGGGTCCACATGCTAAGTGTTGCTGGTAATCAGCGCAGGAGCAGGCAACCCCACCAGGTACCCATTTATACTCCTGGGTGGAGAAAGGCAATGCAGATAAAGTGTCTTGTTCAAGGACACAAGCAAATTTCAAGGGATTGAAACCCCGCTGTCGAAATTTAAAACCCGCTATCGAGAAAGAAACGATTCTGTTATCATTTGCAGGGGTGGCGCCAGCGGGGGGGAGGGTTCCAGACGGGTCAGGGGCCGCCGTCGGGGAGGAAAAGCTCAATTTGTCGGGGAGAAAAAAAAATTATATGTATTTTCTACATATTAGTAGACTCTAAATTCGATTAAATAAGCCTTTGAAACCCCGAAATTGTCAAAGTTTTCGCCCCCGTGACCACTTTCAACACCTTTTAATCGAAGCTCGACCACGCCCCTGATAATTGGTTGATTATCGGATTAGTAAGATAAGAACCGTGTTGCAACTGATTTTTGATTACACATGAAACGGTTACTGGACTGATACGCTACATATACATGATGTAATAATTACCCATATTGCAATTTAAAATGACCTAAATAAAAGCTACCTCTAGTCATTTAAAATGACCTAAATAAAAGCTTCCTCTATAGTGTGGAATTGCGAAAAAGACTAATTGGTATTGTGGTTTTATTTTGGGTTCTGTTCATACAGATTGCGTCTGGAATGTACTTCTTGGAACAGAAGAATTTTATCCACCGAGATTTGGCAGCGAGGAATGTGCTAGTGGCTGATAACAACTTGGTGAAAATTGCAGACTTTGGTCTTGCTAAGATCATTAAAGAGGATGAATATGTTGCTAGGAAGGGTAAGCCATCTCTCCTAAATTTCTATATGGATTTTCAAAAAGCAGAGGCAAATATGTTGATCTATCCATTTTTATTTTAGTTGTCAGAAAAATCATGTATACTTTATATTAAATTTGTGTTTCACAGTGAATTCTTTAATATTCTTTCTTTAGAATTCAAGTTACAGAACTCTTTTAATAACCATAAAACATTGTATGCTTTTTATTGAAACTTTGTATTTTTATTCAAATTCCAATTGATTCATTTTCTTGCAAATTATATGTATGAAGAAGTATGTGATGAGATAATTTGAAATTAGGTTTTCATTTCATGTAGGATATAACATATTGATGCTTTAAACTATAACAATCAGGGCTTATTCCTATATAAAGTACAGAATTTTTAGATTAGCCCCAATAATAACAGAAATTATGTGTTGTACTATCCATTTCTGCATTTACCGCATCATCATTTTTGTATTGATGGCTGTCAATAAGAAATAAGTGATGTATTGTCTTGTTTTTTATCTAAGGTTCAAAGTTTCCTGTCAAGTGGACAGCAATGGAGGCTGCCCTCTATGGGACATTCTCAGTGAAATCTGATATTTGGTCATTTGGAATACTCCTAGTAGAACTTGTCACTAAAGGTCAAATGCCATATCCAGGTAAAATAACCTAGCTAATAAGATCATTTCTGATTTTAAATTAATATAATACCAAACCTAATTGTCTATAATATGTTATTGGGATTTCAGTGTGTAAAGTATAGCAAGAAAGTTTGATATATTAAAAAAAATATTAGAATTCGTAAACAGAGATAATAAGTAAATGATGATGATGATGATCATGCACATCATTAACAACAACATAATATTTAATAAACAGTACCATATTCAAAAGCTGTACCAGGAAAAGTGCACTGGGCACTACTGCAGTGGATTTGTGCGCTTTATATATTATTATTATTATTATTATTATTATTATTATTATTATTATTATTATTATTATTATTATTATTATAATATTAGTAGGTATGATATTCCTGAGATTTAAGCTATTTTTGTAACATTGGCTGTAAGCATCTAATTGATGTTCACATTATAAAACTACAAACAATAACAGTGGTTCCACCATTGGAACCCTTTCCGGTGCATTGATGAATGGTTAGCCAACAGTCATAAAAATACTGATGATTAATAAACTATTACACGTTTAAATAGTGTCACTCATGAAAGGAATCACTAGTAAGTATGTAATGATGTTATACTGTTATCTTGCTCTGTTTTTTCTCCATAGGTCTCTCAAATTCAGAAGTACTGGACCAATTGCAGCGAGGTTATCGGATGCCGAAACCAGTGCACTGCCCTGACTCCCTCTACAGAATCATGATGCAGTGTTGGCTCGAAGATCCCCGTGAACGACCAACCTTTGAATTCCTCTACCACTTTCTGGATGACTACTTTGTGTCGACCGAGCCCGAATACCGAGAAGCGGATGAATGTTGACTTGTCAAATTGAGAAGGACAATAAAACGGGAAATGTGGAATAGAAAGCATCATGTGTTTCAACGGTTGACTAAATATTGCTCCATAACTTCACTAGTAATAATGGTTTAACCTTGTGGCATTTAGAACTTCGAAGAACTTTTTAAGATATAGCCTACTAAGGAATTGGATGTATTCTGAATAGTTCATAATGAACCAATCGCGATGATTAGTGTTATCTGGGTCTTTTCAAGGGTCTGGTTTTGGGTCTAGTCATGGATCTGAAACTAGGACAAAGAAAGGAACATATTTGGATTGTAGCAAAAAACAATTCTATATAAACATCCTGTAGAATGGATGAACAATGATAGTGGACAATGAATAATTTTGTAACATGTTTATTCTGCAATGTGTCTATCAGTTATTGCCGAAATGGACATTTTACACAGGATTGTACAAGGACAACAGAAGGATCTTACCTTTTGAAATTTCAGCACTCTTTCCGCATGGACATGAGATGAGATGCATTAAAGCTTGAATCTGATTGGGCGACAGTTACTGGACACTTAACGACGACTTGATATGGACAAAGGAACAGTGAAAGAATGCACATTTCAGTTATCTGATTAATTGTATATATTTGCTTATGTATTATGTAAAAAAAAAAAAATCATCATCTGTGTGCAAAACGTCAACTCATTGGCATACACAAATACATTGTCATTTGTTTATAATTTAAAAAAATGCTAATTGATTAAGATTAATTGAAAGCTTAAGCTTTAGTATAAGTTTGAACCTAATATGTATGACTATTCTTCAACATATCCAATTCATGTATCTGTTAAATGAATATGTTTTGTGTCGGTAGGACCAAACTTCATAAGAGTACTTAATATATTTATGGGTGGTTTTCTTTCTCATGTACAGTTCTTTCTGTTTATTTGTTTTTTCATGGCTTTCTGCTGTTATTTTGCTAAGACACACATTTACTAGTTGTTTTTGTAATTTGATTATCTAACAACTTTGGTTTTTTTTTATTGTAATGCTTGTCTGTCTTTCAAAGATATCAATCTACTCTTCATGTTTCCCCAGTATACACATCAGCAGTTATGTAGCTAATGAATAATATATACTGGTATTACTGAGATAAAATATTGACCCCTGTAAAACAGGGACCCATGGTACACATTAAGAGTAAGATATTAACCAGGACAGGAATCCGTATTTTACTGTAGATATTGAACCCAGTATAGAATATTGACCCTTCCCTATTACCTGATTTCCTATTAAGTAATGTTAAGAGTTTTAAAAATTCTAAGGGTTAGGGGTCAATGTTTTACTGATGAGATCATTATTGGTCTGGGTCAATCTTGTACTCTTTACTGACTGTGTGCACCTATGTATGTTTATGTTGTTTTTCTTCTCATTCACTTATAGGTCTTTAGTGAATGTTTTTGGCTTTGTTTATGTTAAGGTAAATCTTTATTTCTGTTTAATACTTTCTTTTTCCATTTTGGTTCCCTTGCAAATTCTATATCGATTCATTTTTCATTGCCTTGCTGAATAAATTATTAAATTAACCTTGTTATAATTGTACATAATATATTCAACCATAAAGCAGTGTATTTAAATAATGATGAATATGTAAATGAGATCATTTATAATTAGAGCTTTTTCTATCCAACAAAATCAACGATACTTAATTCAAATAAATTATAATGACCGTAAAATTTATAAATACAGTAGGCCTTTATTACTGAAAGAGTAGATAATTTGAATTGAACTCAGATTGGGTGTTATAGAATTTACTATATAAGTGATGTAAATGCAAATTATACACTTTTTGTATGGAATAGAGAAATCTATGTTAGTAAGTATTTATGGAATATACTTTGTTGAATCACTGTAAAATATCCTACTTGGATGGATGCTTAATAACTATGAATATGTTGATTATTTTCGAAGATTTATTAGTTGCTAGCTAGCATGTAAAAAAATCATTGCTGAAGAGAATTAATGGGGATACTGCTAAGAGATAAAGAATGATGGGGTGGGCCAGTACCTAGTCAAAAAAAAATGGCACCGTCTTGAAAGGTGAGAAATGGACCAATATTGGAAGGGGTTGCATTGTACAGAGACAAAGGAGGGATGGAAATTAGCTCTACTAAAGATGGCATATACCTTAGGAGAAAATCTGAAAATTTTAATACTTCAATAATATATTCTATGTTTTTACAAATATATATGATATTTTCAATATTTAACCTGTAGGAATCTAATTTAACCAAACATGATAAGGAAACAAGGCCCTCCCAATCAGAAAGTCATAGTTATGAATCATATATTTGTGAGTTGTACAAGATATCATCACTGTTGTGGTTATATTCCTATGTCCAAGCTGTGTTTACCTTTTTATTTACAAATGAGATTTGCTATCAAATGAGTTTGTAAATAAGATATATTTTAGTTGGTACAAAAGACATTGATTAGGCCTACTGATAATTTGGAAAAGAAAATTGCTATATAATCATGATTAAATAAGAGAAAACGAAATACAAGGACTGTCAAATTTTCAAACGTGTTTATACTGTAGTGATAGTCACTCTTTATTGTTTTGGGAAAAAAAATGTCATCACCTGAAAGGTCTGCTTTTGTGAACCAAACAGCGCCCTCTACAGTTGACTGTTTTTCTTACGCATTGTAAGTTCATTTTTGTACTTGGAAATTAATTCTATAAAAGTATATTTAATCAATGCAGAAATATTGAAGGGTTGAAAGACGAAATGGTGAATGTTTCATTATAAGCCGATCTCCTAAATCAATAACAAGTAAAGATGATGGAATTTAGTATGAAAACTGCAGTTGTGCATTTGTTTGTGTTGCAGTGTTTTTGCGCTTCATAACCGCAAGGGAAAGGCGCAATATAAATACCCAATACCAGTACCAGAAAGGTTTACGCAAGACTAGGCTAGACGTGTTTGGTTACTCGGTTTCGGTAGATTGGTTGACTGTCAAAAAATCGCCTTTATCCTAAGTTACAGGCTTCATCAATCATTCAATCAATTAACCAATCAATCGATTTAGTATTGATCAACCAATCGGTCTTCAGTGATCGTTAAACAGAAATATCTCAATGAGATGAAGTAATGTCTTTAGTGATCCCACACAAAATAGAGGAAATCTTGAGAAGAGCGCCCGCGAAACCACGATGATTACTGTCTGCATATGGCAAAAACGCCTCAAGGAAAATGGGCATCAATCGATCATTCAATCAATCAATTAACCAATCGATCATCCAGTCACCATTGACTCATTAAATGTAAAAAATGAATTACTGTCTTCCGTGATCCCAAACAAAATAGAAGAAATTGTGCGAATAAATGCATGCAAAACCCACGTTGTCTGCCGTATAGGAAAGCGCATTTTTAAGTACTGGCTTCAATCAATCAACCAATCAATCGGCCATTCAATCAATAATTAATCAACGACCTGATCGATTAACCATCAATCAGTAAAATCGATTAACCATCAATCAGTCGATCAGTTATCATTGACTCATTAAACACATCTCTTACAATCTTCCGTGATCCCAAACAAGACACTTTTTTTTTTATTATAAGAACCAGTAAAATTTTGCTCAGGCTCAGTGTTCTTATTTTTTGGCCAATTTGAGACTCAAAATGTTCTTATTTTGTTCTTATTTTACACACGTTTCTAACATAGAGAATTATTATTGTACAGCTGTATACGCTGTACTTGGAGGTGAAAGTGGCCCTGCAAAAAATGGCCCCTGAATGAAAGGCCCAGCAAAAAATGGCCCCAAATGGGAGGTAGGTACACCTACTGTACTGTATTATAGAGTGTATTGCATAGTCACACCTACTGCACATAAGGTACAGATATAATTTTTTGGTTTTTCTGGTTTGACATTCTTCCTCAGCCTCAACTTGTTCTTATTTTGTTCTTAATTTTTAAGCAATTTCAGCCTCCGTGTTCTTATAAGATGTGTTCTTATAAAAAAAAAAAAGTGTATTGGTCGATTGATTTTCGTCTGTGCATCCACCATCACATGAGAACCGGACACAATTTCCGTTTTGTGAGTATATCCACTTCCTTTGACCAAGGTAAATGGCGTATAGAAAAAAAGTATCGTCTGAAGAAATACGATGCCTGATAATATAGTATATCTTGATTAGTGTCGCAATTGGTGGTAATATTGAGGGGTTTCGTACATGCACCACGTGGACCTAATAAAAACGTCATTTTTTTAAAAGTATTAAATTTCCACAATTAAAACTCCTGTGAAGGCACTTGTTAAACCACTAGTTGAATTGTATTATTAGTCTTCCGGCGTTAACGCTTTAGAGAAATGTTACCAATGGATCGAGTACCGTACTCGCGCGAATAAGCGCCCCTTTCGAATAACGTGCTGCGGAGTGGATTCACATTTTCTTACAAAATGATGATATTTTATACTGGACAAATGAGAGCTCCATGGACAGTATAATATTTCCAACTTTCCTCTTCTTAAGTTTGTCTAGTCCTACATCTCCTTTTTCTTTTCCCGTCGACAATTTGCACATTTAACACGTTTTCATGTGAGTTCGCAACAGGGACGTATCCAGGGTGGGAGCTGTGGGAGCCGCGGCTCCCCCCCCCCCCTTTGTACACAGTGTTAAAATTTTAAAGCTTATTCTTGAGTCAATACAAATTCTTTCCTGGGATCACTCAAAATGAATACTTCTAAATGTAAATATGCATCAGTACACGTTATACATAGGCATGATAGAACACATAGGCCTAAGCGTGATTTAAAAAAATCTTAAATCCATAAATCTCAGGCCAGGTCTTTTAAGATAGAAATGCGATACTGTGGTTCAATTTCGTTTTTATTCTTTTGTAAGTTTCTTTAAATGATTGTTTAATAATACTACTACTAATAGTAATAATAATAATAATAACAATGATGATGATGACAATAGTAATAATTGATATTAATATTAATAACAATAAAAAGTGAAGAAATTGTGCTAAATGCGAAAAAAAAGTTGTGATTTGTTGATTATACTATAGTATATATAGTTAAAACTTAGTAAGTTATAATTAGGCCTAAGTTGTCCTGGATATTAAGTAGATCCCTGATAAAAGATCATGAGAAATTTGTTGGCGTTTCATTTTGACTATAATGGTAATGTGATGATGATGAATTTTACTATATAAAAGTGTCATTTACGGCCATCAAATTTTTCGCACCTCAGCCCCAACCATGGTGGGGCTGAGGTGGTAGCTACATGGCCTAGGCCTGGTGAGTGCACTAGAAGAACATAATACAATAATAAATATTGGAAGATTCGTACTATATTACCAATATTTCAGTCTCCAAAATCAATCAATGTTGATCCTGTCTCTTATACACATCTAGATGTGTATAAGAGACAGATGTGGTTCATAATGCAATTACCCCGAGCATCCCGAGGAACTGCCAATCCAAGGAAGGCACTTCATGGATCAGTTGTCAGGCCCGTGATCTATCGATCTGGGAGATGGTGTGTGTGCATTTTCATTCAAAACGTGCCTCTTGAATTTAATAAGTTCTCATAAGAACCCCTCGATTTTCATCTATTTCCATAAGCGCCCCCTCAATTCCATTCTGTTTTGATAAGCGCCCCGTTCGAATAAGCGCCCCTCAAAAAGTGCAAAAAATATTTTAAGCGCCCGGGCGCTTATTCGCGCGAGTACGGTAATCATAAATTTTCTTACCTCAGCCCCAACCATGGTGCGGCTGAGGTGGGTGATTCCGATCGGTCTGTGAAAGTTCCTCCCTGGTTCACCTCTCTTTCGAATTCCCTGATCCACCACTGTTGATTTATTATATAATTATCGTTGCGCTTATTTATAATGCGTCTATTGCAATTGTCACTTATTCCTCTCAAAACAGTCCTAAGAACGTTCAGAGTGCGCTACTTCACAGGGCTAGGGGGGATTCTCCCCCTGGGCCCCGCCGGCGACCTACGTAATTCCCATAACGGCCCCCCCACCCCCTTTCAAAATCCTGGCTACGTCCCTGTTCCCTATTCCAAGTTTGTAAATGTATTCCATATGGTTTTCCTTATGCTTATGACAATAAATGATAGCCGAATCTGAATCATTACTATTATTAAAATTATATTAATCATTATGTCATTCACCAAATAGGCCCAGCGCTAAACTGTAGATAAAACATTTTTTTTGATTAAAAAAAAAAATTGCTTGCATGAATTGATTTTTTTTGTCAGAAACGTTGGCTTATGTAGACAAAAATTAACAGTTTATAATCAGTAAGTCGATAAATATATTTAATGATATTAACTAATTGAATTGAATCAATCTCAATTTAGGCCTATCAAAATAGACATGTGGAACCGTCGACATTATTGCAGGGTGGAATGAATTTATCGCAATAGTAACTAGCTAACTAACTCTTGTTTTCTTCCCCTCGGATTGTAATGAATTCGTCTTAGTGGGATCAAAGGTTGCGCTGAGGTTGCTGCTGCTCGCGATTGGAATTTTAGAGGCAACTTCCTGGTTGGGCTTGGCGGAACTGAAACAGAGCTAGGAAGGAGAAAATTTAGTTGCAAAATTATTGGTTTTCCACTTACTGACATTAGTCCTGCAGCTGGTGTATATTGGATATTCAATGTAAATTAAGGTTTGTATATACATTTTTCATTTAGTGCTCTTACTTTTTGTAAAATTCGTTTACACATCTCGCTAGGCCTGTTCAAGACTCTTTCGTTTATTTTTCGACACCACGCCAACTGAACAACCCTGCCTTCTTCAGAGAGGCAGTGGTTACCGAAAATCGATCATCCTTTCTCGTCTGACGGTCATATTGAAAAATAGAATTATTCTCAGTACTTTTAGAACGTCTTTTGAAATGTTAACACAAATTTTGCATATAATATATCGATGTTTGCAGACCTATTGAATCCCTAGCTACATTAAGCTAGCTGCCCTCGTTCCCGTACATCTTGTGTTTGTAATTTTAGCCTTACAGTAGTATAATTTCCGAGTAGGGCTTACCTATTATGCAGTCATATTGTCATTTTGTATTTTAATAAAAGAATACAGAAATAAAACATTGTTTTAAGTAATGCCTGTTATTGACATGAACATAATTACATGTGATAGTTATTATTAAATATCACACTTCATCAGATCAGGGGTCCCAAGTTGGTTGAAGCAGAGGTAAGAAAATTTATGATTAAATGGCACATGTGCATGTCCGAAAATACTTCTCTCAGACTTAAATTTAGATATAATTTTATTTTCTTTCCAATTTTTTCATAAATTTAAAATATTTAGTGGGCCTGGGCCGTCTTCTCCACTTCCTCAAATCCGCAACTGACCTGGTTAAATGAGCTTTCACAACACATTTAATTTTTTGCTGCACATTTTGCATTGAAAACATGCAAGATTATGAATTTTTCAGAATGGGTTCATTTCTGGAAGATTCTTACTTGCTTGTGAGAGTGGGAGGCCATCCTGATTTCTTAGACTCCTGTGAGTTCCGTGAGACTTGGGATCCCCTGCTTTATTGTAAAGAACCAAGCCAAATGTTATACCTTGTGTTGCAAATCAAAGTCATTTACCTACTAGTCAAATATATATTTTTAATAAATAAACCATAGATAATGCACACTGACGTATATGCCCCAATGGGGTCCTCTGTCAGTATATAAGATTCAGACAAGAACAGTAATTAAGATCCTTTCACTCTGATGTCCTGCCCAAATAATGATCTAAACACGACAATAACAGATTTATGTATTTATGTCTTCTGTATGATCGGTTTCACTTTCTGTTTACTTTTGTTTTAGAAGGTTAAGGAATAATTTATTTTCTCATCGGCATTGTTGATTGAAAGTGAGAAAGGCCTCAAACAAATGTATACTTATGCCTAATGGATTTTACTTCATTTGATGGTCTGTGATACTGTAGAGTACAAGGCCTACTGTACTGTATAGTAATTCAATGTAATGACTAATTAATAAATTACTAAAAAATAACGGAATGACTGTAGTGAGACCATCTTAAGTGATTAAGCTGACTTTATTCGAGAAGTTTAGACTACCAGTTAAGACCGTTTTTATAGCAATCCGCTCCAGGTGTTTCTCATATTGTACAGTAGGTAAAAACATTTGGTGCATTCACAAATCTGGCCATAAGATGTAGTTAACATTTTCTTTATATCCATCCCTGTGGATTTATACTTGTGACCCCTTGTTTAGTGACAGGTTGGCTTAAAAAATTTGCCAACAGAGGTTCTAAATCAGAACAGAAACAGGAATATGCATGTCTTACAAACCCACGTTTTGTCCCTCAAACGCATGTGTTGGTGTATGTTTTTCACTTATCGTGAAACCAACAATATCCAAGGAGTGGAGCTAAGTGAAGGGTCCATTGAGAAGGGGAAGCAGAGTCCTTTAATATGTCTGACAATTTTCCGATAGGCACTTAGTTCCCCTTTTTGCCTACTGTATCTTCAGCCTCATTTGTTGATTGAAATGAAATTAGGATAGGCTCCCTATGTGATTATGAATTTTGATTGGATGCAAGTGTTGACTTCGGGCTTGGTAATTCACGTTCAATTGGAAAGCATTTTCTGGTCTGACAAGTTACAGTATTGGGCTACTTATAGACTAGTTGAACAGAATCAAGCCCTTCCCCCACAGGCACCGACAATGGCTACAACTCCACTTTGTAATGATTGATAATAAAATGTTGTGGCAGTTGTACATTAAGTTGTAATATGTTTGCAGGATCCTGATGGAACTTTCCTGGTTGGATCACCATTTTGTTAAAATACTAAATAAACAAATAAAAAACCAAATAAATCAAAGCAAATAAATAAATGTCGTCATACGGTAGTATCATTTTTGCATATTGGATCTGTGATTTATTGATTATTCTACTGTAAATCAAGAAAAATATAGTTGGTACTATATTATATGTATAGTATTTTATGAAATAAAGATTTCCAAGTTCAAGACTGTATAGTTATTCATGCATTGCAATAATTGAATCAGTCTGCTTATTCTTTTCTTCAACTCGGTACAGTATATTCACCTTTGGTAAACAAGATTACAAAAAATATCGCATTTTTTCTGCTCTCTTCCTCATGTCGAGTATATAATTAACTGAACTCAAACAGGTTAGACCTATTGTTCCGTTATGGAAAGATTTTTCAATTCTATTATATTTACAGTAAATAGAAACAAAATCTTTGTACTGTGTGATATTTGAAAAAGGTACTGTGCATACCTGTACTACTGTATATGATGCCTTTGAGAAATATGGCATTATAGAAAGGAAATTAATATTAAAACTATATTTTGGGCTTTTTCGACTGGTTCTTTTTGTTAACTACGATTTTTCGTTCAGTATTATTTTCATTTGACTGGTTCATAAAAAATAGGCTTCGTTGACAGTGTGGGATTCAAAACTTTTAAATGAACGTCTGGATGTAAAATATTCATCCCGTGTGCGCTACACCGGTATGGAAATTAGTTCGGGGTTGGGTGCGGCAGGTTTGAATGCCAGGATCCATCAGTTAGTGCAGTTAGTCATGTGTTTTATGCCATAGAATGGTTAACCGAGTTAAGTTAGGCGTATATTTTGTTCTGTAATGAATTTGTTTGATCATGTAATGAATTGGTATTTAAAGTATTAGTTAACAATAATTAAATAATCCAAAAATATGTTGATGTTAATAATTGTTATAGCTGATGAAGTTGTGATAATGTTGACTTTTGCATTGTTCATGGTTGTGGTACTGCTTTATTAGTGGCAATTACCATTGAATATTTTATGTTTATTGGAAAATACAGTATAGAACACATATTTAGGTGGCACTTCGTTGTTTAATTCTGTAGCATTATGAAGTACAATTTTCTGTCATTGTGAGGACCGGGATTGGAAGATTGAGTACCGTGTCATTTGCATCGTTAGGCCTATTGTTAACCTGTAAGTCAAGATGGCCGATTATTTATTGAATTGCGGTATTGTTGTATATGTAAGATTGATAATTGATAACAGTCTAATACGGCCAATGATTAGGTGAAAAAAAAACACAATGGACAAGTTCCTATTGCAAAATCGTGTTGGGAAATGGAAGTCTTCAGAAGTCAAATTAGCTCTACCAGATAAGGAAGAAAAAAAGCAGTGCTATCTGCTTTTTCTCTTTTGTGCTAACATTAACAAGTATTTGTAACTATCGTAGTTGTTTTAGCTTTCCAATTGGAAATTAACTGGTAAATTGTGATCTTTTCTATTATTATGTGCTGTACTGTAGACGCTTTTGGAGAGGTAGTAAAATGTAATAGTAAATTATTAAAGCCCCATTCCCGGCAAAATTTCAATTTTTAAAAAAAATCTATTTTTTGTATAATGTTATAAAGATTTATAAATATAATACGGAATTGCTAGTTTAACTGAATTTAGACATTCCTAAGAATGAAAAAAATGTAAAATAAGACTGAAATTTGATTTTTGTGTTCCACACAAAAAATAAATGCGGAAGAATTTTCATGTTTGATTTTGCGACAGGTCGTGAGAAGAAATATCGTAGGCGCCGAAAACATTAGCCTATCCAACGCTGCTAGGCTAGGCCTAGCCTTACCTCTATTTAGGCTCTGTTATCACACATAAAAACGGCCGACATGATATTTTCCGTCTGTAATAGTCTGTATTTCTCATTTTTTTTATTCTTTTGCGTAAAACTAAAATTCATGCCAATATTTTTCCATGATTTATAATAATTGGAGTAATGCAAATGCATATTTTCTAAAAAAAAGTCAGTTTTTAGTGAAATTTTGCCGGGAATGGGGCTTTAAAAAATTACTTTCTTTTTACATTAGTACATTATTGTTACTGTAGGCCTACAGTAGTCTAACAATGCCTACTGTAGCTACATGGCCTAGGCCTGGTGAGTGCACTAGAAGAACATAATACAATAATAAATATTGGAAGATTCGTACTATATTACCAATATTTCAGTCTCCAAAATCAATCAATGTTGATCAGGGGCGGATCCAGAATTTTTCAAATGTGGGGGCACAACAGGTTAAGAATAGATTAAGTGAGTAGCACATACCATTAATATGCATGGAAATTTTTAAAATTTAGTGGCAAAACAGGGAGAGGAAGGCGCGTCCCCCCCACCTACTGGATCCGCCCCTGTCGATTAATTGATAATCATTGTAACACCGCCGCTAGATACAGTAGGATAGGTTGTTGAATTAACTATTTAATATTGACACGCAAACACGGCTTCTTCATTAATTGAACAACAAACAATTTAACGCGAATGACTACAGGTAAAATGAGTTGTGATTTACCGGACAATCATTTTGTCCGGTACTGTAGCTGGAGTCAGAGTGGAGGCCAGCTGGCCCGGGCCCCCCTGAATTTTTAGCAATTAAGAAAAAAATGTAAAAAAAAAATTGCCATTTCAAGCCATTAGAGGTGCCATAGTCAAATTCCCTACCTGGGCCCCCTCTTTCGAATTCCTACTGTAGAACCGCCACCACCGGTATATATTTTATATTTAAAAAACTCTTCTGAAGACCTGAAAGATCCTGCCTACCTTTTGCTTTCACCATTTTTAACACAATGAACCCGGATTATATTTCGTTCCCTCGAAAATCAAAAGCAGGAAAATTTAGTGGAAATATATTCATACCAACCTTGATTCCAACAGGAATACAGGAAGTTTATACTGTAGGAGTATGACCTCAAAGCGTTGGTGTAAACATACTGTACTGCTGGCCACAGTACTCTGGGTAGCAAAAAAACGCTTTTTGCATTTTCCTAATTTATGGAAATACTTCATGAAGAGGTTACAACCAGTAAACATGATATTCTGGTATCATTTGTTGAAGTTTACAGTACAGTACCTGTAGTTCTCAAATTAAGCATTTTGGTTGTACTGTTGGTCACCTTTGAGATACAAGAACTGTTACTGTATAGATCTTGAGAAGAAGGCTAAAGATATGATAGACCCGAAAAATAAGAAATTGAAAAAAAGTCTTGAAAACAAGTTTTATTATTTAATAGAAACAAATCAAAGAGAAACAAAAGAACATCAGGCAGAAACAGTTCATCTTCCCCCTCCCCCCACACACACACACACACCAGAATACAGATATGTGGCCTGAAAGCAACATGTAGTCTGGTGGCAGTTTTGTTACAGCCCTCAAAAGTTATTTGAAAACTTTGTATGGCCCACTTCCGGTTACTATACCTGTGGACAGGCAGTAAATAAGTAATATTCCATACTGTAGAAAGCTTGATATTTAGGTTAAAAGGTACAGTAATGTAGATAGTGGAGAAGAAATAATAATTGTAACCAATTTCCTAGGACGTACAACCTGAACTGTCACATTTTAGTTACTAATCTGATAATTGGTCATCAAAACTAAGTACTGTACTGTATAATTGGCCTTAAACATTGTGATGGAAAAGCTCTGATGATCTAAGCTTGCTTCAACCATTCTTCAACCAACCTCACACAGCCTTTTATATTTAAACACCCGTACAGTACCCTACAGTACTACTCTACAGCAAGTGCCGATATACAGTACAGTACTGCTCCTGGCTGTAAATGAAATTCAGTGTGAGATTCGAAACATTGACCTTATTGAACCAGAATTACAACTGTTTTGCCAACCATTCCTAATAAATCCAGATTATTTTTTATATTACGTATATACTTGATGTTAAAAATTGTCTTTGATTTTGGTGTAACATTGATCAATATAATGTTTCTTTTAAAATGATTTGATCGATTTAATTGATTGACTGTTGATATTTCTTTCCTGTAGGACCATAAATTAGTACCATCATGGGAAATTGTAGAACAAAAGATGATTCCAGTGGAAAATACAATCCTGGGACGACAGGTAGCAAAAGTAACGATGATGATAACAATCACCAAACGTCTGCCCACATTCCAAATTTTAACGTTCACTCAGGCTTTGTACCAACTCCAGTTAACCCATTTCCACCACGACAACCAGGTAAAGTGACATGTTTGAATTTTTGTATTCTTTCATATTCCTAATAAAATAAATTTTCATTTCATTATTTACAAATCTCTAGAACGAAGAAATAAAATAGTAGATACTTTACAATAACAGTAGCGCATCATAATTGCACATTGTCCCTTTGGTTTTTCACAGAAATTATATAATAATAGTTATAATGCTAAACTACTCCTATTCCTTAAACTAATTCATGGTCGGCCAATGACTCTGAGGAGCTCATCCGCGTTCATTCAAGTTGGGTCTGTTATTTCCGTCAAGTTTCAGTTTACATTACTTCAGTATATGTTACCCCATGCTGGTATCCGTCATTGGTATGTCGTCGACTTGTAGCAGCCCTAGCTAGTGTCGCCAGGCTGGGTCCTCTACACAGGCTAGTAGGCTACGACCTACTACAGTAATTATGAGGAGTGGCGCCAGGATTTGCCTGATTGGGGGGGGGTCCAATGTCTTCCAACGAGCAAAGTGCGCGTGGTCAGGTGTCGCCTAATACCGTTTGAAATTGGTCCTGGTAGTGGAACCCCCAAAAATGTTGGATAAGTTAAAAGTAGTAAAAGAAAAAAAAAAAAAAACTTCAAGCAGTAGGCACACGCTCCCGCAAGGAGCCTATTTTTCTTGGTTCTTGTTGCTAGGTGATCATAAACACCCTTCCCTTACAGCCACTAAGACACATCTGATGGGGTTGTCAGTTTAGTTAGTGACAGCTTAACAAGATAAAGTTTATTGTCGTACCCAGGATGTTCCTGACTACCTTTAGGCTGTGTTTCCGCAGCACTAATTACCTGGTAAATTGTCGGAAAGCAGCCATTTTATTGTATTTCGCTAAGGAAGTGGGCCCCTAAGTTTCCGATAAATTTTTGCATGAGAATCACATAATTCATTGGAAAAAGCTCTGAATTCAAAAAGTAAATAACCTTTGACCGATGTCAAATCACGGTCATGCAAAGATATTTTTTGGGCAGTTAGTTTAAAGGCAATTAGTAATTAGTAGGGCTAGGCCTAGTATCAAACATTCATAATAAAAGGTGAGTAAATATTTTGTGCTTTTTAAGTATTAAAAAAAGCCTGAAACAGCTGCGCTCGTCATCAGTGGTGCCTGGATGGGCCTACTGTAGGTCTATCCCTACAGTACCTATCATTTATTATACTGTAAAGCATACTAAACAAAGTTAACATTCTTTTTTCGTCGTCTTCTCAATCAGAAGTACAATGAAACATCATTGTAGCAGTACATTTCCCAGAGTGAAATAGTACCAAACGCAAAAAAGGGTTACCTGCTAAGTCAACAAAACAAAAATGTTTTGATGCTGAACACATTGCATTTCCTCGAATATTGTTCTATAAGTGAAGCCTTCACTACTAAATTTACTTATTATTATTATTCTAACAAGTTTTTCTTTCTGTTTCATAGTATTATCGTACAAAGCTCTTTATGACTATGATGCCAGGACGGAGGATGATCTTTCCTTCCGGAAGGGAGAATTGATGGAAATACTGAATAACAGGTGTGTATCATTTCCATTTGGAATTGTTATTATAGTATATTGGCTTAGTCTTTGCCTTCCAACCTTTTGGGTTCACTGACACCAAGCCTGTGATGGGTAAATGTCAATGAAAGACAGAGGTAATTGTGTAGAAGCTTCCTTTTTTAATGGTTATGATTTGATTTAGCCTCTTTTAAAAGAGCCATTAACAACAGGAAGAAACTGTAGAATCTACTGCTTTACCAAAATAAAACCATGTTGTATTTGTTTTACTATAGTACAGTATACCTCATAAATACTAAACAGTAAATCGTCCGTCTACTGTACATTAGCCATTTCGATATGCAAGGGTAAAATTACACAGTTTGCATGCAGTTCACATAGGCAGGGATGCAGTAGTCGATTTTGAGTACTGTAGTACTTTTTTTTTCCTGCGTATGTGCAAACTTGTCTTGCGCAAGGAAGTAGTAGAAACTACCACATTTATTATCAGGTGGAATTGACCAATCAAATGTTGTTTTTACCTAATTAATATTTATGAGGTATAGTAAATGGGCATATCACAAAAATTGTCAAATATAACACGTGATAGTGTAAACTAAGCTTAAGCTTCTACTGCAAGTGTTTTGTGATTGAATTATATTAGGCAAAGCTTCAGTAATCCATGGTAATTTTCTACTGCTTTATTCTTTCCATTACAACAGAATCATTAGTTTATCAATCTTAATTTCACAGGATGACACAAAAGCACTTGATACAAACACTTCAAAAAAATATATGTTTACATATCCTGATAATAGAGAAGTTATCTCTACTGACAGGCAATTCTACCATTTCACAGTGTACACTGCATCCCTCTTCTATATTCCTCTGTGTATATATAGTAATGTCCACATGATTGTAAGTTCTTAGACTTTCTTTGTAATGTCCATTTCACAGTGACGGAGACTGGTGGCTTGCAAGATCAACAGTTACAAACAGAGAAGGTTACATACCTAGTAACTACATTGCACCAGTAAAGAGCATAGATGCAGAAGAGTAAGTACACAAATTACTAATTTGTATAACATTTCAGTTTTTCAATAGTAGGCACACAACATACCTAGCCTAGATATTTTACTGTACCAGATTAAGGCTGTTGTTCACAGGTGCAAATTTCTATTAAAATGACTTTGTGAACACAGCATTCTTTAGATGGAGATGAATCTGCCTCATTTTGACCAGTAAAGAGTCAGCAAGACCATGAGTCGCCTACTGTAGTTGCCACAATATATATCTTGACTGTCTTTACCGTTAATTTTCTTTTTTAATTCTTTATTACTATTAAAAATACACATCATTATCTGTAGATGTCATACTGTACGTCAAATGACACTTTCGTTCTCCCTTATCTATCATGCACAGAGTGCCACCTCCTCTCCATCCAAGTACTGGTAGTCATTCACTTGTTTGTGTACAGTATACAGGGGTGGATCCAGGATTTGATAGAGGGGGGTTCAAAATGTTTCCAAAAAACCCCAAAATGAAAGGTGGTTGGGGTCCTCCCTTGAGAAAATTTTGATTCCTAGATGGCCTTTCTGAGGAGTCTTTTAATGACCTGTAAGTTCCTAAAAATTCAAGGTTTCCACCTGAAAATGCGTCAGGTAATTATATCTCATTCTTTAGGCCTATACATAGAGAAAAAAAAATCAAGGACATAGGCAATATATTATTATATTCCAACAATGTTGAGTAGTTGGATACGTATAGTCTTTCTTCCATGGATAGATGAACCGATAGGCCTGAAGAACGCACTTTCCTACATAAATTATTAGGCCTACGACGTCGAACCAAAAACAGTGTGTATAATTTTATTTAATTGAAGTCTAGTTGGGCTAACACTAGTTTGTCTTATCTGCCAACTTATGCCTAGGTAGGTTTAGCATGCCTTTTGTAAGCCAGGGCCCAGTAGTATTTTGTTACGTTTCTTCACAGAGGGTGGTTCGTCCGAACCACCTGAACCCTCTCTGGATCCACCACTGGTATAATGCCGCTCCATACCAATGCCATTCCAAATCATTGACATCATTCCGGGTACCCATTTGCATTTCTGGGTATAGAAACAATCATTTATTTGTTTTCATAGATATTGTTTTTTCCTGAGTTCTCGAAAATAGTGTTGAAAAATTTTCATGAATTGAAAAATTACAGTTTAGCAAAAGTATGGAATTTCCAGTATACTGTACTGTACTGTACAGTGTATGTTAGTATAAAATGAAATACAGTAATATCAACAATACCTTATACATATTTAAATTGGATTTGCTAATATTTTACATTCAAGATTGATATTTAAATTATTACATCCAGATTTTAACACGCAAGTGATTATTTTGAAATAATTTTTTTTTTAAATCATTACACAGAACCTATTAATATCATCCGTGAAAAATCAGGGATAGCCCCATATCTCAACCTAATACAAATTTTCTGACCTTCAAACTACTATGTAAACACATTTGACAAGAAATTGCAAAGGGAAATATCATGTTGTTCAGTTTATTGCTACATATGCATACCTATTCTGATTAAGTGTGGGTTACAAGGAAGAAACTTTTGAACCGCAGACGAGAATGTTGACTTGTACAGTATAGTACATGTCATTTGAAAGCAGTTTAGGAAGTGTTGGCCAACAATAGCGTGTTTATTGAAGTCATCATAAGTTTATTTTAAAGGGAAGTGTACTGTATGTGACTGTTATTAGTAGAGTTCCTATATAGAGGGAGTTGCGACATGATCAGTTCGGGTCACGTGATTACAATATGTCCTCGATCTGTCATCTTGGGACAAGTGATGACAAACAACCCAAGTTATTGGTGCGTAACCAACAAAAATAAAATAAGCTTTGAGGCTGGATTCTTGACATCATGTTATATTTAAAAATTCATAACAAAGGGTCTTATCACATTAATTTCTTTTGGAAAATGTTCTTAAAAAACTATTCTACACAAATATATTGAAAACATTTTTTGACCCTGAATTCAAGATGGGAAAAGAAGAACCTATCTAAATAGTGTATTAAAGTTGGCCCAGTATTAGTAGTACCAGACTAGGCATAGCTAGTAACAGTACTGTTTCAGTTACTGTATGAATTAAGGATTTCTCTTATTAGAAACAACAATGACTTTTTTAGGTTATAATATAGGCATACTTTTATAACATAATTATTTTGGAGATACTGTACCCTTGGACCAAGGCCCTAGCTAGAGGCTATAATGCCACAAATACCTGTTTACTATACAAATTTCTAAAGTTAATAGAGGCCTAGTCGCCTATTATTTATAGCTTTAAAAAGCTGAAACACGATGATGTATGCCTAGCAAAGGCACTACGTTATTTTGGTCCAGCAAAAACTACATGTAATAATAGCCTATAGAAGTAAATTTCTTTTTAATTTTGTTATAAACTTTAACAGATATTTACTATTAAATTTTTTTTTTCAATTGCCTTTTTTTTATGCAATCTTCACACTGTAGCATAGGCATTGTGTTTATTCATGCATACAATGGCCCCAATATGACATCACTCTAGCGGTCAATGTGCGGAAATTGTTAAATTAATTACCATTTTAAATGTCTGTTTAAAGAATTTTGGTAATTATGTGTCTGTTTGATAGACAGATGGTTAAGAAATCTGACTTCACACAAATCTTGCCTAGCGGGTGTACAAAACAGAAAACAAACTTTGCATTGAGTTGAACATTGATGAAGTTACATAGAAGATACTCATTATAACAAACATATAACTAGAGCAATCCCTTTACACTGTAGGGTGTATAACTCCGCCCAGTGTCTGAATACTGAACATTACGCTGGCCATGTATGGGAGATTCCAATATTTTTCCTTTACATTCAAGAGTAAGTTCAACGAGTGGGCGGGGAATTAAATTTCTGTGACCTTGACCTTGTCCTTTGACTTTTCTTAACGAGATGTAAAAATGACCAATCCAATAATAATTTCATCCATAATTATAATTTCCATCTTAAGGAAAAATTAAAAAAAAGAATAAAAAAAAAAAAAAAAAAAAAGATATATATATATATATAAATAGATATATATATATATATATATTTTAAGAAAACCTAGACAAGTAACTTTTGTTTTGGTAATTTCCTAGTAATGTTTCATTTTTTATACGGTGTACTGTACATTATCTGTATACTGTAGCTACAGACTTTATAAATAACACTGTAAATAATAATTTAGTATAGTATAATAATTATTTATTTATAATGCACCATTTTTCTAGGAAACCCTTGTACAGTACTCTTAATGCTCATTCATGTGTGTTAATACTACTGTACGTAGAACAAGGATGCTAACTTCTTTGTTTTTCTTCAAATGCTGTGTCATGTTTATTGTTCTATTATTATTTAGTTTCCTTTTGTTTTTGTAGAGAAGACTTGAAAACTGTATAGAGACTTGCTTACTTTGTAGAGTACTTTACAGCAGTGAGTTGTGTGCTAATTGTATAACAAATCTCTGGTTATACGGTTTTTAACTTTCTACAGTATCTTAAGGGGATAACAAAAAAATTTCCTTGCCAATTAAAAGACCTTAAATATTTATAATGTTCCTATCATATTCTTTGCATAAATCCGTAAAATTTGCTGTTATTAGTATATACAACGAGAATTGAAATGTTTCTCTCTAGGTTATTGGAAGATTTAGATTTTTTGGAAGTTTTTCAGATTTACCAAAAATAATGTTTTTAAGTTAGTTTCCCAGTTGTAAAATGCAGGTACTGTAGCATAACCCAAGTCTTATCTATTTTAATCTGTTATTATAATCTTTTTTGATTTATTACATATCCTTATCGTTTATCTATCAACTTGGTTGTAGGTAATAGCTTCATCTGTTTGTAATTCTGGTTACACCAGAGAATATGACTTCCAACTGAGAGTACAAAATGTGATTTTAAAACTGTCCTCGGAATGTTTATTTTTTGTTTATTGTTATTAAAAGAGAAAGGAATTGTTATGAACGTGATCAGAACACACATGATTGATTGATTGATTTTATTCAGTACCATAACATACACAAAATACAAAGCAAACAAAAACAGGGAAGACAAAGTCAATATACTAAGGAAGACCCAAGAAAGATAAAAAAGAAACCTTATTTCCGTTGGGGTTGGATGCGCCATTTCGTGATCTGAAGTGTGCATGCCAATATCAAGGTCATTCGGCATATACCACATAATAATGTACACACAACATAAGTTAATGTTGATTAAACCTTAGAAATATTCTAGGGGAGAACTAAATAACTTCTTGGGATAGGGTTTGAGATTCCTAGTCTGTAAAGCATATTTTTTTCTCATGACAACCTCACTCTCACATGCTTACACAGAAATAGAAAATGTCATGTCATGAGAATATGAAAGATCTTCGTCAAATAATGGTTAAATGGATACTGGTTAAATAGACCACCATGCACTACAGTATAATTAATTGTCATTCGTAAAAAAAATTTAGAAAGCTATTTATTGTTTCAGTATCATTGTCAACCATGGTCAGCCTCATGCGTGATTGGACTTGTTTTGACAACTTGTTTTTAAAATACACTATGTTAGTGCATGCTCCCCAATTACTGTAGTAACATAAAGAATACATTTGAAAGTATACTCTTCTTTCATATTTACAAGTTAATCAATCTTTCTCATCTTTTTTTTTTATTGTATTTAGTTTCGCATGGTACTACCCTGGCTGGCAAGCTTTAGGGAGACAATAATAACAGTAATAAATACATTAGAAGTATTACAGTAGGAATGTATTTGAAAATGGGTTAATTTCCAGGGAGATTTTCCCTTGCTCATAGGAGGGCAGGAGACTGCACTGCTGCTGATTCCAAAAGACTTGTGCAACTACAGTAGTACAACCCTTGTGACCCAATATAAAATTGTTTATTCCATGTTTCTATTTAATGACAATATCCTACAGTACAACAACCAAGAGGTCATTGTAAAAATTTCTTCTGAATTTATGAAACAACGATAGCAATTAATTTTAATGTTACTGTAGGCTGAGCTCTGAAGACCAGTTGTAGCTAAAGAGATATGGTACCTTTGTGGTATTATGGACCTAATATGTCCATGGCGGTATGCTGTAGATGATGAAAGTAAGATTTTGAGATAAATAAAATAAACATGGGAATCTACTGTAACACCAAATATGGATAAAATCATAACCATTTGTTTTAGATTAATGCGTTGGTTGAGCCCTTGGGTGGGAAAATGAATAACGTCGTCGGTAATGATAAACCGATAAGCAGTGATAGCCTACCAAATATGTATAAATCTTAATATACAAATCCACAAAACTAAGAGTGGATGAAAGTAAGAGATTGTAGCTCACTGCCATTTTAATGTACAAAATGTTCACTAATGTATAAAGTAATTGCAGTAAAATTCACAATTTCACTTTTTAACTTTTTAGATTTTGAAACTATTATTAACATGTACTAGTAGCCTTCTGTAATGAATTGTGTTATTTTAATTTTAACAAAAATTTGATCTGGGCACCTGAGTTCCGAATTGTACTTACTGTACATACAATATAAAATGAAAAAAAAATTTGATCTGGGCGCCTGAGTTCCGAATTGTACTTACTGTACATACAATATAAAATGAAAAAAAAATTGAATCATTTTTAAGAATTTTTCAGCTACTGTAGTAACAATTTGGGCAGTAGGCCTGTGTACATATGTATTGTAGTCTGTAGAGCTTAGTGGGTAACATAGAAACATGATAACATGCGCAAAGCTAAATGTCAACATCAGCATTCAGGGTAAACCCCTTGTATACTACCCTTTCTTGAAGGTCAAAGATGCCAAGACAAAAGCATTTGATTTTGTGTAAATCTAAAACAATCACACAGTTAAAAGTTCTAATGCCTTTAATTGTGCTTTCTACTGAATATTCGCATGCCAATCGAAAAATAATGTATTTTTAAACCTTTATATACTTTTTTTAAATACAAGATATGAAATTCCTTAATTTTTTGATAAACTACAGTATGTATTCTCATCACTAGTTGTTTTATAAACAGTAGGCCTAACAGTATCAGTTTCATCGATACGACAAAATTCCTCGCATCATAATTTTTATGTAGCTCCATATTGAAAGCAAGGATGCTACAGTACTAGGATACAGTAGCCCACTGTAGTTGCTTAAATTAAAAGAGTGATTCCAATGCTCTGTTGTATTCTAAACGTATTGCCAATGCCAGAAACTTCTACAGTTCATTTTCACAATTAAGAATGATTTGGAGAATTTGTAAACATTTTAAAGTATACTAAAAAATAGGGTGATAGTAATAAGTTTAATTAGGTCCATCATTATTATTTACCATGTTCATTTATAGGTAATTATTCTGACAAAAGTGAAGCAAACCCTGTAATTTTCTTTTTGTTGAAAACTTTGGAGTAAAATAATGCAATCAGAACCAGGAAATGTTTCATAGAAATTGTTACAGTATCTCGTGGGAAAATTATAAACTGTAAAGGACAGACATGATTTTGAAGTTTGATCTTTATCACTAATCAACAGTTTCTAGAAAGTGCTAGAGCTTTTCAAATTTAAAGGACTTTCAATATTCAACATACAGTACATGGTGCATGCTTCATGCAGGTGAAAAAGAAAAAAAAACCTTCTGTTGCCCAAGTCTGACCAACTCGACATCTTGGAAATCCGGAGTTGTTTTTTTTTAATTTTTTAAATAAAATACTGATATATATTTGTGAGGTACCTGTAGAAGCCCAAAATGATGTTTCAAATGCCACTTTTCAACCTTTAATTAATATTGTAAATGTGATAGCATTTCAAAATGACAATGTGTTTTATATGCAACACAACAAAGTATATTTTTTACTGTGCCTAATAAAAAATAAAATACAGATTGCAGCGACACAGAAATAGGGTTTAAAATAAAATAACACTTATCAATACAAAGGGAACAAATATATCTAGATATTAATAAAGTAATTAATACAAAATCTACTCAAGTTACTTTTATTTCATCCATAATATTATAAGTAGTATTGACTACAAAATGAAGCTGTGTTGATAAATAACATTGTTTTCATAAGTTCAGAGGTATTTCAAAAGATAATATAGACCTACTTAAATTGCTTCTCATAAAATTTGTTAATTGTTCAAAGCACATTAACCATGGTTATCACAGTATGGCAGTGTTGTATGTATGTAGTATGACAGTATTGTGCCTGTCAACTACGTATACTATGCGGTATAAAGGTCAACGACCATTTTAAGGAAGTAAAATCGTTTACAGTACTGTACTCTATATCCACTCTACAGTATTCATGCAGCATGAAATTATGTAATATTTTTCACAGCTTTTTATTCTGTAAATTCCAGCTTCTCAACTTGGTTAAATATATTTCAGTAATTATATGGTACTTGCCGGGCTAGAACCAGCATTACAGTGACCAAAACAAGGAAATGAACTTTTTTTTATAATATTCATATCCTCCACAATATAATACGCTGTAGAATCAACTTACAATTTTTGCCGAAGTTATGATGAGTAGTGTCTATTTCAACTTCCCTGTACTAAAGTATACAATACTGCCATATTCTTATGCTAACTACTCAGTTTAACATTTAGAAACTGTACAGCGGTTTTTGGATGGCAAGCCCCATACACTCTCAAACTTTTTTGGCCTCATACAATCTCAAATTTCTGTACTACATGGTTTCCCCATCCCCCCCCCCCAAACTACAGTATTCTTTTGTGGGTGGGGCAAGCAGTTGCATTTAAGATCATCTATTCATGAGGTTCACTAGATTCAGAGGCTTGCTAGTTGTAAGGGTCATTGCTCATAATGTTCACTGGAAATAATTCCTTTTAATTTCAGTATATTAAGTTTCCAAGACACCAAAAGAGGGTCGTTAGTCATTAAGTCCGATTGTAATAAAAAAAATTTTACTAGTCACAATAATGATTCACTACTCATTGAGAATGACTACAGTAGGGAATCCTAATTTTTCATTATATCTATTGAACCCCTTTTCTCATTATGATTAGCTAAACATACAAATAACAGTCATTTGTTTGGAATGTGACTAGTGGACTGTTCGCTTGAGTAACAATCCTTATGAATAGAATGTTTTTCTTGATAATGTTGAACGCCTGTCGTATGTACAGTAAACTGATGTTATGACTATTGAACTAATCGATTACGGTAATGAAGGTTATCAATAACTAGTTTGACCAATTGCATATGGGTTCGCAATTGTGTGGTTAGTGATCCTTGGGCAAGGCACTATATTTACACTACATCTTGAGGCTAATGTGCCCCCAATAGTGTAATGTTAAATGTATTATTGACCTGTATAAGCTATCATTTTCCATGTTTACTAATATCCAATGAACATACTGTAACATGTGAGATCTTGATATTTAGGCAGTAAAAAAAAATTTAAGAACATACAGTTTTAATGATAATATTCACTCTTTTTTAACCATGTTTAATGTTTGATAAAACAAGACTATAGTACTGTACTTTATCTATGCTTTAATATACAGACCCAAATTTGTTTCCTAAGTTTTCCTTTAAATAAATACATTTTTTTTCTTCTTCCACAGTTGGTATTTTGGAAAAATTGGGCGAAAAGAAGCAGAGAAACGACTGTTATTACCTGGCCTAGCCCGTGGGACATTCATTATTCGAGACAGTGAGGCAAATCCAGGAAACTTTTCATTATCAGCACGTGATTTTGACGACACAAAGGGAGAACATGTAAAGCATTATAAGATTCGGAAGCTAGACCAGGGAGGATATTTCATTGCATCTAGAAGTCAATTTAGCACACTCAATGATCTCGTTGCCCACTACCAACGTAAGATAGATGTCTTCGTTTATTATTTACACACATCAAATATCTTGGCATAATGACAGATTATCAATCCGTATATTTCAGCTTTATATAGGCACAGTGTTTTATCAGTCGTAATATATTAAAAATATTTAAAATATGGATATTTATTCGATGCATAAAAAAGTATTCAAAACATTCATGTGTGATGATTCTTTAGAGGAACTCGCATTCACTGATGCTGTGTGTTGGCGCCATTAGAGTGTGGGGATGCAGAGGTGACTTTAGTTTCCTGTTAAACAGGTCAAGCCTGTTTGGGTTGAAACCCGGGGAGCTCATTTTCATATCAACCAATCAGTGCCACTTCAAAACATGAGACACTTGCGCTACCTATTGTACTGAAAATTCTTATGGACTTGAACTACCATTTACCAAAATCGCACTGGGCTCTAAAAGACGACAGGAAAAAGCCACTCAGTAATGCCAGTGAGGGCGCAATATTTACTGGTTCCCGATGACAAAAAGTGTTCAGTCCGATCACGATCTCGTGGCTGTACCAAAGTTAGGATTTGCAAGAGGCTTACTGGCTTAGCACCAAGTTAACTTGAAATTCCCGCTAACATCGTGTGGAAAATCGTGGCACTTTGACACAGGATATGCCAGGGACTTTAACTACCAATTTCACCCCGGTTATTTCCGACACTTGTGCTACAAAGTCCTCGCAAGTATACCCCGTAAATGCTGCAACTCCACTTTATTTCCACCACTTGTGCTACCAAGTCCTCAAAAATTAACCCTGAAATGCGGCACCTTCCCATATAGAAATATTTAAGAGTGATTCCCCTGGGGGTTCAAATAGTGTGAGACCCAGGATTTTTCTTGCAAATGTAAACAAGTTTTCCTGTTTCTAAGCCTCATGGCGAGAATACTTAACATTAAATGCCAAAGAGATTTTTTTTTTATGAAAACCAAAAAACTTTCTGTTATAATCACTTTTTTTGGTCATCTTTTCCAACCAGAGCAAGCTGATGGACTATGCTGCAGGCTGGGAAAACCAGTGCCTAAGTCAAATCCCACAACATCAGGCTTAAGCAAGGATGCTTGGGAAATTCCCAGAGATTCACTGCAGCTGGAGAAAGTTCTTGGAGCTGGACAGTTTGGTGAAGTGTGGAAAGGTTAGTTGGTACTTGTTTGTAATGTTTATCAATATTGGACTAGGAATCCCAGACTATCCCTGTTCTCTGTTTGAAATGATTCTTTCCCTATCACCCCCTCAGTTTGGCATCCTATCCCATCTCCCGTAAGTTGTACAATATCAACCAGCCTGTGTCACGTTATCAACATCTGAGAAAATACCATTAATATGAACAGTGAAAATAAAACTTAAGGAAGTAAATTTGAGCCAAGCATACTCACTCCCAATAGATAGAATATGAGTTGCGTGTAAAGTATTTGTAATGACTTCCTCATGTTTGCTATGTTTTTATAGAGGAATTTAAAAAGTGCTTAAAAATAATAGTGTTGGTTAGTGATCATAATAAGGTTATGGCAACAATTCTAGGCTAATATAAGCAAACATCAATATTTAAATAGCATCATAAGGTTAATTATATAACTGGTGAGCTTGTATCAAGTTAAAGCATTAGAATGGTTGATGTATGAGTTTTTTTTAAAGTTTATAGGCTTATATAAGTTTTTTAATTAAAAAAAAAAAGTTTGTAGGCTTAAATCAAATTTTGATTACTGCCTATTCCTTTAACAGGTAAATGGAATGGTAAGACAGCGGTAGCCATTAAAACTTTAAAGCCAGGAACCATGTCGCCTGCTGCCTTCCTTGAAGAAGCAAATATTATGAAGAATTGTAAACACGAAAACTTGGTGCAGTTATATGCTATATGCTCAGATAAGGTAAGATATGGATTCATATAATTGGTCACATCAGTGATCAGGCCTGTAGCCAGGGGGGTTTTTTGGGGTTTTGGAAACTCCCTTTTCAGAGACCTCCATCTTTTGTTCAACAAACCCCCTCCCTAACCAAATAATCCAAACATTTTTTTTTAAATCTCTCTATATGCATGAGGGGATGTTTTTTTCTCTCTCCTTCATATTGACATTACTTTTGTAGGGTAATTAAGTATTCTATTTTTTTAATAATAATAATAATAGTGTAGATTTGTAAAGTGCCGGTATTCATCAAATGATGCGCATTGATATGTGAACTTGTAACTCAATCAGTTACTTTCTTCACCCCCAAGCCTCCCTTCGTGTCTGTGCTACCCGGTAACCCAGTACCAGCAACTCTCATCATCCACCATGGGGCTGTCTGTACCAGTACACTGGGGTATCCCTATACTCGTCTCAAATACTAAGTCAATCTTATTTATACTTATTTTATATTTATGTAAATTTGTGTTTTTGGTATCATACAGGAACCAATCTACATTGTCACAGAACTGATGGCCAATGGAAGTCTCCTCGATTTTCTTAAAGACGGTGATGGTCGGTCTCTTAAACTTGTTGAACTTGTTGATATGGCGGCCCAGGTAAAAATGCTGTTCTTTAAATAAATATATTGTTTTCTACTTTCAATATGAGCAGATGCTGAAAAGAACATTCCAAAATTTCCCTCCCTTAGCAAACAATGATGGCATGTTTTTGTGGAATGTTAGTTAATTGGTAATAATACTGTCTCTGAGAATATTGGATGCTTTTATCTCACAGAAAGCTATGGTTTTCCATCATGAACATGTGATCTTTAAAACGCTTTCCTATATATAAAAAAAAAAAAGAAACTAAATATTTTTGTTGTTTTATAACTATTTTTTTATTAAATATCTGTTATTTGCCATATATATATGTGAACGTTATCGTGTCTAGGAGTAAATCACGCATATTTATCACATAATTTGATAGTGTAAACAAACATTAATGATAAACACATTAAAACTGGTTTTTATGTGTTTTATTAGGTCCACATTTCTCACGATGTAGGCTGCGGTAGCAATCTAGGTTCTCCGACAGCAGAGGCCAAAGGATTGGAGATAAATACAGTAATTAAATATGTGTATTAGTTTTTAAATATAATTACTTTGCAAGTTATACATCTTTGTGTATAGATTGCTCACGGTATGGCGTACTTGGAGATGCAAAACTACGTCCATCGAGATCTTGCGGCACGTAATGTACTCGTCGGTGAACATCGAGAATGCAAAGTTGCTGACTTTGGTTTGGCACGAATGATTGAAGATGATGAGTACACTGCTAGACAGGGGGCTAAGTTTCCAATTAAGTGGACTGCCCCAGAGGCAGCTATGTTTGGCCGTTTCACCATAAAATCAGACGTATGGTCATTTGGTATTCTACTGACCGAGTTAATCACGCACGGACGCATTCCATATCCAGGCATGTAATTTTTTTCCAATATTTTTCAATTTAACATTTTTATAGAATTGGAATATTTATAGAAATGGTTGACATCAAGCTGTGAAATACAGGTAATAAGACACCGTTTTTTGCAAAAGATATTTAAATTGTTGGTCCTGAGTAAACATCACTTAACGACAATCATAATAAACTGTTTGTGGGATATGTACACATTCCAGGCACCTCTTACTAAATATATCTTCTGATTGACTAGTTGTTAAAGACAGGCCTGGTGTAACAACCATTTTTCCTCAAGTTTTTAAATAATCAAAAACCTGTATCTTGTTAGCCATTCCCAATTAATTTCTTATTTGGGACACCCCTATTAAGGGAACACCTTTTCAGCGATAAAACAAGGGACAGTACATCTTTTAACACTACAGCCAACAGGACACATTTTTGGTCCTAATAGTGTCCCCTTAACTGTATATATCAATATATTTTTCCTTCGGAGCTTGGCTACATTGATTGATTGACTGTTGATTCTCGATTGTGTAGGAATGATGAACATGGAGGTATTAGAGCAAGTTGATCGTGGTTACAGAATGCCCAGACCTGCTAATTGCCCCGACTCCTTATTTGACTTGATGTTGAAATGTTGGCACAAAGAACCAGTGTCTCGACCAACGTTTGAATTCTTGCATCATTTCTTGGACGATTACTTTGTGGCAACAGAACCCGATTATAAAGAAGCCGACTATTAGTCAGTTAGGGTAAGTAGTATCACTTGTAAGTATAGAAGCAGAGACACCTTCAACATTAATCAAATACTTCACTGAACCTGTTATTAAGAACATGCAAACTTATCGAACACATTTAAATACTTGTTATTTGTCTAAATTGTTTTAAACAGAACAATATAAGATAAGATAAAACTTTATTGTCGATCATAACATGTTGGAAATTCATGATCCATTTGGTGTACAAAATACAAAAACACATTAATTAAATTACATCAAATGTAAATAGAAAAAAAAGTTGGCAAAATATAGAATTAAATATAACGAAAGAAGAGACTGGCTTCCTAAAAGTAGATTAAGATTTCCGTCGAGTGGGTCACCAAAAACAATTGATTCATAATAAATTTTTTTTTTAATATGTACAATCAATTAAAAGAAAGGTAATGGACAATAAAAACAACATGCAGAATGTGAAACATGATTTCTCTATCTACTTTTAAGTGCTAGTTATGAAACTACTAGTGTAATTTTAGTGCTTTACAGCGCTCAGAGAAGCAATTAGTATTACAAAATTTGATTGTAACGTTTGTACTGTTTAGATTGTTATCATTTTTTAACTAATCTGATGTTTTTTTTATTATTTTTCAGAAGTAGTTACAAATATTTCAGTTGGAAGGATGATGGCAGGAATACAAGGCACTGGCTTCTCCACCTATTACAGTACTGCATAGCTGTATTAGATAGCATAGCTGTCACGTATAGATGTTAACCTCTTGCTTGCTATCAGTAAAACCACCTGATATTGTCTTTGAAGCACCTGCTAAAATTATGTTTCGATCACCTGCGAATTGTTTACAATTGGTGCCGTGTTGTAAGACCACTCTGCTTACACTAATGTTTATAACTACTTTCAGTGAGAATATTTTTTAATGACATATCCAAATGAATATGGATCTTAAAATTGTGACATATACATATTTCATGCAAATGAGATTATTTGCATATTCATGATTCATATTAGCATGTTAATGACAACATGTGAACCTTAAAGAAACCATTTTATTTCAAGAGTTTTCAAAGTATATTCATTGCTTCTAATATTTAGTCAATGCAGTTGTTGATATTGCTGTAGATGTTTTGTGGAGTACAAGAAAAAATGTAATAAATGTGCACAATGATTGGATATGCTAATAATGTTTTGCATATTCATAACTGCTATAAAATCAGTGGCCCAATAATATCAGATTTTTACTGATGGAAAAAAAATTCATTCACATTATGTGTTCACTTGTCTGGTGTTTTGACATGTGACTAAAATTTTACAAAAGAACATCATGAATATATGCAAATTGGGTAAATTCTTCATTGGGAGATATGATTATTCATGCTTAAAATAACCAATCTTGTGTTAGTTGTAATTCTTGATGAAATTTAACTATTTGATCTGTGTTTTATACAATTCTAATTTTGTAGTTTTCAAGACAAGGTGGGTAAAACTGGTATAGATGGACAATTTTAAGGTTGAGGAACCCAATTTATATTATCTTTACTCAAACAATTGTGTGTGAATGTTTGTGTATGTAGTTCTAGAAACCAAATTTAATTGTTGTGGGAACTAGGTGAACATTTTTATGTAAAATACCAGTGTAAAAAAAAAAACAAAGAATAGTTTATAAACGAATTTGTTTTACTATTTAATATGGAGGTTTTGCTCTGTTAATCATGTCAATGTGATTTTTGATTTTTAATGAATCAGTAGTTTTTGTCATGTAAGAACTATGAAAAATTTGTGGGAAAGATGTAAATGGGAAAAAGTTTGCAACGTGTCTTTGCAACGTGTCTTGTCTGTTTACTGTGGAGTTGTCATAATATGTAATGTACTATAGTTTGAGAGAAGCATCCTCTTAACAGCCCCATTGTCGTTACTCTACTTAAAGGTGTTTTTTTACCAAAGGTTAAAGGTTACCACCATGCTAAAAGTGGGTCCTTTAGACGCTGAAATAATTTTAATACTTGCGGCAAATATGGCATACAAATCCAAATGGTTTTTAGATGTTTCTTCTAAAAAACTGTTAAAAGTAGTGTTTGTGTTTAAAATTCCATATGAAATAATTTAAAAACTAACCCGTCAATGTAAATAATGTAATCACTTAATGAAGCATATTTGTAATTATGCGAAGAGTTTTTTTATACGAAAAAAAGTGGTACTTTAATCTTTATCATTATGCATATTTTTGTAAGATGTATTTGGATCCTTTTCAGGGACTTCTTGCATGTAATTTGTATGTTATTTCTTTGTGTCGTTATAAACCAGATGGTCGTCTTGGACAATTGTAATTTTGTAACCCTGTCTTTTTTTTTTTCGTTTTAAATAATGGAATCGTGTGGCACAGGAGTAATGCGTCAGGCTGGACTGGAGTATAAATTAGTTCTTGGTAGGATCAATTGTCATTGTACTAATTACTATATAGTTGCTACATTTTAAAATAATCCCCAGAGATCTGAATGTATGCGTGGACGTAGTCTAGTTTCGGCCTGGCATGGGTTGGGGGTTGGGGGGTTTCGAAAAATGAGAATGTGGAACTAAATCCCTATTCCAATGAGAAATGAAGTCAATTTTTAGTATTTTAACCCACATAGTGGAACTAATTTGCTGACAAGGGAGTACATTCGCACTCCACACCCCCCCTCCCCCCAAATTAGCCTATGCCCATGGTGTATTTCATGGGTGTTTGATCCAATATCCGGGATAATAATGTGAAGTATATAGACTTAGGTAATAAGCACTATATAGGACCAATATAGGATTTGAGTCATGCATTTCGAATACATTCATAAAATGCTGTTTGTGGACTAACTTAATTTTGATTAGTAAAAAGCTTCTTGTAAATGCAAAACAACATTACCTATACATATTTCTGTGTTTGATTTTTTTTATGATAAAATGTACATTTTACTGTTTGTTGATTTTTATTTACATTTAATCTACATGCAGCTTTTGCAATTCTGATTTTCTTTGTTTTGATAGTCATAAATTTCTGTAGGAAACATTGATGGTTAGAAGGATTGTATTAACATGGTGTTGGGCTAAACAAATTATGTCTGTATTGCCTACTTGTGGGGATTCCATATTTATAAAGTATGAGTGCAGAACTCTGTGTATTGTACATAATATATATATATATATATATTATAATAGTGCTAGTCAGTGAATAAGATGGAAGTTAAATTCAATACCATTGTTGCCAGGGGCACCATCACAGTAGAAACTTAAATTCCACCAAATCAACTTTATCAAACTTAAATTTGTAAATTTTAGCTTTATATAAAACATAAGATGTTATTTGTTGGATGTGTCTATAATATTATACAATATATACATATACATAAACACTGTCTCTTATACACATCTAATGTTTATATATGCATGTCTATATACATGTATGTGTATATGTATACATATGTGTATATATATATATATATATATATATATATATGTGTGTGTGTGTGTATGTATGTTATGTGTATGTACTGAAATAGGTGTTTTCCAATACACATATAATTTTTGTAATATATTCTTCATTATCAATATAATTATTGTATTATTCATTATTTAGTCTCATTTATATTTTTTCACTGCACGTATTAAATGAATTGTTACCAATTTTGTATGTATCATTCGTAGGAATTCAAATAAATATTGCCTAGCAGTAAGAGTTTAGTTCTTTTTTATATTTATACTCTTTGATGATGAATGAGCAAGGCTGTTTATTTTGGGAACCTCAAAAGGACACTAGGCCTTATGGCAGTTTCTTACCATCAGTTAGGCCTATTTTAGGGCCCATTAAGACTTCTACTTATTGGTACTTTAAATTATGCCATGGTCAAGAAGGAGGATAGGTTTGTACGGGTCCCAACTCGCAGCAGACACTCGCAAACAAACAAGAATACTCCCTTGGAAAATAACCTATGTCCCGAAAATTCAAAATGTTTGCATCTATTCCCTCCTTAATATTAATTGACTCACAGAAGTCAGTGCCAGGGGTGGCGCCAAAATTTGCCCGAAGGGGGGGGGGTGGGGCAAGGTCCGCGACAAGGGTGCTGATTCCCCCGACGAGGGCAAAGTGGAGGTTGTCGGATGTCGCTCAAAATCTTTATAAAGTGGTCTATGGGGAATCCCAAAAAAATGATGATAGCAATTTAGGGGTTTCAAAGGCTTATTTAATCGATTTTAGTGTCTACTAATATGTTAAAAATACATATAATTGTTTTTTCCCCTAACAAATTGTGGTTTTTCTCCTCTGACGGAGGGTGGGCCCCAACGAATTGTGGTTTTTCTCCTCCAACGGAGGGTAGGGGGGGGGGAGCGAAGCCAGACTAGAGGGCTGTAGACCTATGTGCAGCAAAATAAAATTAAATGTGTTAAGAAAGCTCAATAACCAGATCAGTGGCGGATTCAAGGCTGGGGGAGGCCGGCCCAGGCCTGCTAAATTTTTCAAAATTATTTTTAAAAAAAATTATTTCTGGCCATCTAGACTCGTCGTGTGTTGCACAAGCACAGTGGCAATTGGAAGTCGGCATTGGTCAATGGGCATTTTTAAAATTTGCTTACTAAAGGTCTTGGCCTAACTAAGGTTTATTTCCAACGTCACTCAACCTATACAGGCAACTATTTCTGTATGATGCAAAACCGAAAATTCTGGCCAACTTTGATACTTATGACATTGACTATATACAACTGTATACATTTCTGCGGGTTTAAACGCTGTGTAGCTTTATTTCTTTATTTTGACATCGAAAATTAACGTGGCATTATCAAGTGTAGTTAGTTATCACAACAGAACAAATTCCACTGTTGCGAAAATAATAAGCCTATATCGAAAATCAGCCATTAAAACACAATTTCCTCAACACAATATAGTATAAAATAACCAAATATACTGTAAATTAAATAGGCCTACTACTCTGTCTTTGACCGGCATCATACTACTTGAGTAAAACTGGATCCATAATTGTAATAGGTTTAATAAAATAAAATGGCATTGCTTAATGATGAAATCTGCTGAAAGCATACTCTGGGACTTTTAACTAACAGGTTCATTTTTCAGTACGTGTGTTCAGTATACAGCTGGTTGATAATAATATACATTGGAAAATACCTGTAGACCCAGACTGTTGACAACCGTACCGTAAACGGTCTCTATTCAACGCAGATGAATCATGTTGTTCAATTTTCAATCTTGCAAGTAACTACTTGTTTAAGAAATGCCGTAGTAATTATGAAGAAAATCATGAATTAATTTGAAAGGTGGACGATCTTCTGGTTCGCTTTTCCAGCATTTATGCATCAGGTCATATATTGCAACTGGGCAGTCCTTTGGTTGCGCCATCCTGTATCCGTTGATTACTTTTTCATACACTTGTTCATCATTCATCACATCTGCGGGTAGATGTTCAGTTTAAACATTGTGTATATAATTTTTTTAGAAAGTTAAACATGACTATTATTTAAACGTTAATTAAATATCACTGACATCAATACCACCATCGACTCCACCACACCATCACCACTACCACCGACGTTGTCATCATCGCCGTCATCACCACCGCTATCATCCTCATCCACCATTAAGCATAATAAATCGGGCTTTAGGAAAATACTTATTTTTACCTGAATATGGAAGTTGTCCATAGGTAATCAGCTCAGAGAGAAGGACACCAAATGACCAAATATCAGATTTGATTGTAAATTGGCCAACAGAGAGAAGAATCTCTAGAGCCGTCCAGCGAATTGCCAACAATTCATCGGTATTTGAAGTCGTCTTATTATCTTTTAACTCGCATGCTAAACCGAAGTCGGATACCTTGCATTTTATGTGTTTATCTACTAATACGTTACTAGCTCTGAGGTCCCTGTGAATGATATTTTTGGTTTCCAAGTAAGCCATGCCATTGGAGATCTAAGAAAAAAAATGTAATACAAATAATGATTATATTGTTTCGATATTAATATGCGTCTAAAGTGCTCGAAAATAGTATTGAATAGTATGTGGAAACACGAGCACCCGGCCCACGGCCCACCTCGCACCCGTAGTTTTGTTACTGGGCTGGTAACATATCTGGGTTCCAGAGCGTCCCTGCACGCTGTCTAGCATGTGTTTTATGGATTATTCGGACTATAATAATAATTTAACATACTTGAGCAGCGATTTCTATGAGGTCAGAGATGAGAAGACGCCTGCCATCATTTCCTCTCAGATAATCCAGCAAACTTCCATTAGCCATGTATTCTAACACCATACACAGTGGCTGCAAAGAAGGCAAATTCAACAATTTATTTATATTAGTTCTACTTTATATTTCTTAAAACATTACACATATAGTTTATTGCAATATATCTACACACAATGCAAACAATTATTGAGAAAATTATTTTATTTTATTATATATTTATACTATACTATAATAGGCTTACAATTTATTTCGTTGTCAAGAACAGAAGAAACAGAAACAACAGTAATATGGATGAAAATAGTAATATGGTAGTAATAATTATGATAATAATGATAATGCTAATAATGCTAATAATAATAAATAATGATAATAATGGTAGGCCTAATGAACTAGAGGCAAACTAAGATAATAATTATTATTGAAATGATGATAGCAATAATACGGATGGTCACGATGATTGTCATTATGACGGTGATAATGATAATACTAATTTGATCAGATACTGGTAATTAGTTCTCTATGGTATAATGATGATAATAGCCAAATTGTAGTTTTAAAAAAACACAACAAATAATAATAAAAATTCCGAAACAACCATTGTTCTGAGAGCCAATCTTTACGTAATATTTCTTTTACTACTTACATTTTCTGAACATACAGCATACAACCTAACCAGATGCTCATGCATACAAGTCTTCATTATGTCTGCTTCTTTTTGAAAAGCCGAGTGCGTTTTTGTTCCTTTTAAAAACAATTTTATAGCTACTGTAGCACGCCCGCTCCATTTCCCTTTACAATAAAATAAATATAAATTACAGAAAATTATTATTTTCTGGCGGTGATATGAAAGCAACTGCTGACTACAGAACCTTATTAACACTTGTTAACACTCTAAAGAATGTCTTCGCCACTCTTTGAATCCACCACAGACCATCATCATCCATGTCATCATCACATCATCGTCATCATTATTATACAATTCATCATATTCATCCTCATCATTATTCATCATCATCATCATTTCCATCATAACCATTAACATTATCATCATCATCACCACCACAATTGGTCTAGCAGTTATGCGATCATGATTTCAACCGACATAGAAAAATGAATGTGTACTCATAACAACTTGTAAGAGAAAACAAAAACAAAAACCCAAACAAACATTATTCTAAACTTACCTTTCCAGATATCTGAATACCGTCCTCTACCAATTCGTGATTCAAGTTTAAGGGAGTCTATTTTAATCTCCCAATTAATGCCTTCACTCGAGCTTGAAGTTGTTGGTGTGATCTTTGGTAAGGGCATCTCCAATTTGCAACAGAGCCCATTAGCTTCTACTGTACTCCAAAATTAAGAATGACCGAATAACAGTCTCATAAATTCAAAAGCATAGTGTTAAGTCGATATCTCAATATAAAATCTTCGTTATCGTCATGAATAATATACTCACGTTTGTAGTAATTAACAAGCTCCGTAATAGTACCGAATGTCTTTGACTTTGAAATGTAATATCCAATGTTTTGTCGCATTTTAATGGAGTATTTTACAACACCGTCTCCATCGCCAAGCACTGACAAAGTGAACTGCCCCGGGAAACTGCTGCTATCTCGAATCAGGAACGTTCCCCGTGGTAGATTGCAGCCGATGAGTAGTTTATCCAAATCACTCCCTTCCATGTTGCCGAAATACCAACTGATACAAAACAAATGGCAGCAAATAGATAATTAGCTGTAATAGTTTGCACCTAATATAGTTGATATCTGTACGTTGCGTGTCGTTTACTTTCTGAGTCATGTTACCGTAGAAATGCCTGACCGCATATCCATACAAGTCTCCTTCAAATTAATTATTAAAGACAACTTTTGGGACTGGGATTTTAAAGGTCTTTAGCAGCTTTGGTCTTTAATTAGAACAATTAGTTTTTTTTTTAAATAAAAGTAAAAGATAGACATTCATTTGGGGCCGGGGGAGGTAAGTCTTCAATTGGAGGTAGTGTTTAATTGGAGCAATTTTAATTAGAGGGAGATATGCATTCAATTATTTCAGTAAAGTTCGTCAGTTTGTCGTTGTTAAAGATTTCTCCAAATTTTATAGACCTTTATTTCTTCTCTATACTTCTGATAACTACATACATAGGCGAATACATTTGATATACACATCGGTACATTTTTTAAAGAGTGAGTTTTTTTCTTACGTCAATTTCGGCAGAATGTAAACTCTGCTTCAGACAATCTTTGGGCAACGATCCATTGTTTCAGAAGTGCTGTCTTAGACTACTAGTGTTACAAATTTTTTGCAACCACCTCGTGATTTTGTTACATGTAGCCTATATAATCGTTGACCAACTATGATTGATTAAAGAAATAGCATACTTACTCTTCGTCATCTATAGGCCTATTTGGATCAGCAAAGTGATTTGCATTGTAGCTTTCTGACATGTCAAACCTTGCAAACAATTCAATTTAAACTAAAAGTTAAAAAGTGATGTTCCACATTATTTCACATTGTCACAATAAAATGCACTTGCGAATTATACGGTACATGATAAAAATTTGTAAGGATATAAAGGACAAATCAAGCTACGATGTTTGAAAGAGTATTACAGGTACTTACTCTTTGTCATCAATAAATTCAGTAGGATCTTCATAGTTATTTGAATTGTGGCCATCCGACATGTTAAACCTTGCAAACAATTCAAGAACTCAAAGTTAAAAAAGTGATGTTCAACATCTCAAATAAATAACAACGGTACATGATAAAACTATGTTTAAAATGTAAAGGGCAAGTTAAGTACGATGCTTTAAGAGCATTAAAGGAACTTACTCTTTGTCGTCTATAAACTTATTTGGATCAGCATAATGACTTGAATTTATCTATCTGGCATGTCAAACCATGCAAACAATTCAAGAACTCGAAGTTAAGAGTGATATTCCACATTTCAAAATAGATTGCACTTGCGAATTACGGTACATGATAAAACTGTGTAATGAATTGAAGGTCAAGTGAAGTTACGATGCTTTAATGAGAGTGTAGAAACAAGTACCAACTCATACTCACTCATTTGACTCTAGTGCTGCAATATAGTTGCTTGGAACCAACCCTTCTTTTTGTGTTCGGATAGACCTCACCAACCACCAAGGCCCGTTGCTGTAAGAAAACAACTGACAAATCATTCAGAATTTTTTTTTAAGTGAGGGGCTGGGTAGGAGAGGAAGAAAGAGGAATGATAAGCAGAGTAGGCCTAAATATTGGGAGCATAGTTACCAACCTGAGAGATTTGAAATGCGTGACTATACACCAGCTGGGTAAACGGGGCCTGGGGGTCCAGGGGCAGAATGCCGTGGGGTGACATGAACGAGCAAGACCGCACGTGCCTCCTAGAGTCTACTACGTGCGTGGTTGACTGGGTTGTTTTGGTCGACAAAGAGAAATTTTCTCGGTAAATTGATTCTCGAACGATATAACGAAAGCCTTCTAATGACTCAAGTTACTGCATGACCGTTTTAATATATTTAACAAAACCAGTTTCTTCTAATTTGAAATAAATTTTCCCATGAATTCGTGATAATTCGTTATTACGCATTGACTTGTGCTAAATGCGTGATAAATTTATGATTACGCATGTGTTTCTTCAACATGCGTGCATCCAAAATCACTTTAAAATGGGACCCGGGACCGTCCCGCACGATGCGAGACGGTTGGTAACTATGTTGGAGGGGAATGGATGGGAAAAAAGAGGAAAGATTGAGAAATAAAATTAGAAAGGGAAAGGAAATAGAGGAAAGTGTGCAAAGAAAGAAGAACGAGGAAGGAAAGAGGAAAATAAAGGCAAAACAAAGACTGAGAAGAAAAGTGAAGAAGAAAAGAAAAGAGGAAAGGAGTGTAAAAAATGTATTGTTTTGCAAGATGTTGGTAGAAGTTAGGGACAGTGGCGTATCTAGAGGTCTTGAGTTGGGGGCTGATAGGGGCGCGAAGGAGGGGGGGGGCTCGATGATCAGTTGAGGGGCGCTAATTCGCAAAATATGGTGATTTTAGGTGTTTTTTAACTACTTGACCGTGATTTTGGTGGGGGGGGGAGGGGAAGTAATTTTTGTGGGAGTGCGCCCCCTCCCCCTTAGATACGCCACTGGTTAGGAAGTAACACACCACTAGAGGGCGAATGTGCACAAGGCATTATTCTTACCTTTTATCCAGAACTTCTAATAAATCACCTTTGTTTATCGACAGTTCATCTTCTTCTCTTGCATCGAAATCATACGAAGCTCGATGCACTGATAAGAATATAATATATTAATGTTTTTTTTTAAATAAGTTTAATATCATATTTAGCGGAGGCGTGTTGTTTTCTGAGTCTGATTTTGTGTTTTCTTATGATAGCTTATTTTCTCTAGGTTGTCACTTATAACTTAAAAATATTTTTTAAAGTGTAATAATGTGAAAGATACCGCTTCGACGAATGCCGCTGATAAGTGTAATGAAATTGATTGATTGAGCTGCCGGTTTCTAAGAGTGCCAATTCAAGATAAGTAAACGTTGAAATAACCTATAAGGCATACCAGTAGAAGCTTGAAAATTAGCTCACAAAATGTCTAGTGGTAGTCTCTAAAATTAGAAATATATAGGGACCACCATGTATAACTTTTTAATTATTACTGACGACGAGGGCGATAAGTTGTTTAGCATTACGTACAGTATCTGTCAATTTCCGACGAACCGGTGGGTCTAGAGGGGAAAATCTGGTGGCCGATGAGACTAACCCTGGCGTACAAAAGATATACCGTAAGTACGGTATTCTGAGAGGTTTAAGCACGTTACGATTCAATCAATCAATCAGTCCGTAAATATATACCCCCCTCCCACCCACATTTCTGCTTTCATCCGACTGTGTAGGTAACGAATAAACAACTTAGCTTACATTTTGTACCTGAAGTGACCCCATCATTCGATTTTTCTTCTGGGATAGGTTGACATTTTGCTTTAGTATTTTCCATGATTCGTCAACGGATGGGCATCAGTCTGCGGAATGTATAGCCATCTCAGGATATTTAGTTGTTAAACAAAAGCGTGGATACTTTGATCAGCTTCATCGGCTTTTCCCCTCTAAATATTAATTGTGAACACAGAAGCAATACTTTACCAACATCAAACGTCGACACGAAGACTTTCGACAAACAACAAAATACCGCGATATTGGTCTTTGTTATATTTTCAATTGGTCTACTGTTTACAAATAATAATTTTATAGACCTACTGTATGACTGAGTAATGTTAACTGGATGCCCTCTGGCGCCAAACCTTTGCTCTCATTATTATCAAGAAATCGAAGGTAACTTTTCATTCATGTTTGTTATCGAAGTCATGAATTCAGTGATATTGATATCGGGGCACGCAAAAATCAGACAGCAGTCAAATACTATGGTACGATAAGTTACAGGCGAGGGAGGACCCGATAGCTGATAACTTGTTAACATACCCTTGTCGATTACAAAGGTTGTGTTTACGAACTTTCAACGAAACCGGATAAGTCAACATAATGCCCAGAGGGTAGGTCATTAGATCGCTCGTTTACGAACCCCAAGTTATTCGGATACGGACAGTAAGGTATAGGCCTTTCATGTAAACAAAACAAACACTTCACCGCTTAGCCTTCGTCAGCCCAACAAGGCAATTCAACAACGAATTACCTCGCCTTGCCTATGCTCGAACTCCAACCAATTCTAAAAAAAACCCCAGGCGTTAGGAACTAGCCTAGCCAACTGGGAAAATTACAAAAAATAAATTACAAAAAAACAAAGGGAAAAAAAATAGCCTACGGACCTACTACTACTGTACTACTAGTTCCACTGGTGTTCAGAGTCGACAGTGTGTGGTGGAAAGAAATGGGTCTATCGCCAAAAATTTCGTTCATCATCTCAAAATACGGCCATTCTGTTTGGGGGGGGGGGTTTCCTGACTTCCCGTTAGAGTCCTTTTCCTGGGTGTATTTTTTGCGCAGGTTCTTGCATTTGGTATTCTATCTGTGCGTGCGTAAAGTTATAACCCATTTCCCGCATCTTCTGTGCGATTTCTTTATAAACGGCGTTGTTCCGTCGGGTTCCATCAAAACCATCTTGTATGGATGTCGTTCCCCATATGCTAATTAACGTTTGGGTTGCTTCGTCAGTCCACCCACTCTGTTCAGCTGCAGCCATAGGGGCATATCGTTGTAAAAATAAACTTAAAATATTTCGGCTTAAAAATTGGATAACATAATTTATTAAGTGAGGACTACTTTAGCGATGTCACTGGACGAAGGCATGGATGAAAAGAAATTGCGGACTCAAGTGCTTAATCATTCTGAATAGATTTCTCATAAAAATAAGGTCAGTTGACACCATGCTGTGGGCTATTGCGCCCGAGGCAGCCTCCAACCCTCCAAACTTATCCGGAAAGTATAAGCCCGGAAAGTCCAGATGTTTTAGTAATTATAGCTAGTTGAGGAATGATTAATTATCACATCAGGCTTGAGTTATCCGGTTTTCGAAAGTTCGTAAACGGGCCCAAAGTAATCCGTAATCAGCCTATGATAACATTGTCCTCTCAGTGGACAGATGTTTTATGTGCCTTCAATTAATTTATATTGAATATTGAATAGTGGAAAGGGCATTGGTATACAGAGGAGGGGTAACACATGGTTACGAACAAAGTTAGGGCTTTAAGCAACATGTGCCAGATTATAAAAATGCAGTCCCAGCCTCTCATAAATATTTCACATCTAACCGCACGTATACGCCGATATGATGAAAAACCATTAATAGGAGTGTTTATAGGCGCGGTTAGGCAAATTACCAGTAGGTCTGAACTTTAATGTTGTGGCCTCGTAATAGCACAACCTCATTTCAAACCATTGATCTTGCTGCTTAGAGCCTAATAATCGATATCGTATTTACTTTTTGAGAGTTTTATAGCTCTATACCCAAGTCTAATTAGTTTATTGAATACATCTCGTTATACTTCAACCATTCACTCATGAAATCATAAACCACTTTTATTGATTTAACTATACAATACACTAAATTATTAAATCAAATAAATAAATAATATGAATAAATTAATCAACCACTCCCTATACCAAATAAATAAGTCAATACACCAGTGGTGACGCTACCGGGGGGGGGCGTCGGGGAGAAAAACCACGATTCGTCGAGGAGAATAAAAAATTCAAAAAACTTATATGTATTTTGTAAATATTATAGACTCTAAAATTGATTAAATAAGCCTTTGAAACCCCTAAATTGTCGTATTTTCGGGGGATGCATCCCCTGGACCATTTTCGAAAGGTTTTTAGCGACGCCCGACCACGCCCTCTTTTTTTCCGTTGGGTACATCAGCCCCTCCGTCGGGGACCTTGGACACGTCCGTCGGGAAAATCCTGGCGCAGCCACTGCAATACACTAACCAATCCATTCATTATTAATCAATTTATAAATCAAGAAATACATTTTTAAAAAAGGCATCAATCATCAATTATGCAATATTTTATTTATTCATTTATCATTGTGAGTGTACACATCCAACTTTTAGCATTGTATACTTCTCCATCATTGTTCATTTCCAGTCTGTATTCATTCTTCTAGTTTAACTGTCCACTATACAGTAATGTACTTAGGATGACAGGGGGAAAAGTCTTTAATATTCAACATATTGTGTATACTGTAGTTATTCCTTTTACAGTATTATCAAATCAAGAGATCGAACAACATGAATTTGTTCATTAACTGCCTCTGTTCTAAAATAAACTGGCAACATTGTCTATAAAATGACGTAAACTTGATAATTGGCTTGAAGTACATTCGCTACGGCTTCCACAAGTCTATTAAATATATTAGCAGTAGTGAGCACAGCAAGCTTTTGACAGCTCAGAATTTAGGTATTTATATGTTCACGATCTGTCTGACATACACAGGCAAACACCAGACAAAACCAATAGCATCCCGAGGTATGTTTCTGTATAAAGAAAAAAAATGTTATCGATTAATAACAGAGTACTGTTCATATATTCATTGCATAGACCTTTAAAATTGATTGGTAATTGACTTGTGGATTTTCGTAACAAAACATCAGCAAAAACAAGATTATCTAAAATCTATGCTACACAAGAAGTTGCAAATTTAATTCAATGGTTTCATTTTAGCCTCTGACATTAAAATTGCCAAAATTTTACCACAAAGGGGGAGGGGGGTGTATCAAGGACGACAGAGCGTCCATGTAGTAGCTCTGTTTTTACCAATCCTTTCACCACTATACAAGAAGATCATATTGTCAGGTTTTTTGGTTTTGGCATCCAGCATCGCCAGTTCTGAACAGACGTGCAGGAAATTTTGACTGTGCATTACTGCCATTACCCCTAAAACAAGACGCGTCGCATGGATGGTGCGGTCAGTTAAGGAAGTGTTATAAAGAACTTAAAGTTGTGAGTTTGAATCGCGTCTTGGTATTCGATTAATTTTTTATTTTAAGATATTTTAATTTTGTACAAATGAAAAGTCTAAATAATATTTTTTTTTGTACAAATAAAACATTCTAATTATTTAAAAATTTCTATCTTATTTGCTCTTCCAAAAAAAACCCCAATATAATAATTTGCGCCTGTACCATATTTAAGCGTGGAGGAACGCACATACCAGTCAGCTGTCGCTCTTGTTAAAAACTAAATGGACTGGCTCTACAGAGTATGAAATTATGAATAGACTCAATAAGAAAGACCACAAATATCGCACTTTACTACTACTGAACATTTTCAATCACATACAATTTCTTTTATATGTACTGTAATTGTTAAATTGACATAAACACGAAATGATAACATAGGTGGCGCTGTTTAAAGCTGCGTCTTGGCGTGAAAATTCTTGCCAATTTTATGTTTCAAATTTCTCTTTTTGTGACATGTTTTTTTCATCAATTTGCCTGTTAAGTGATTCTTGATGTTTTTGCAATCTTATTGGATTTTTTGAGGATTTGTTCAACTTTGTTGCGATTTTCATTGTTTAGAAGTCTAGCCTACCTGTGCACTATTCACAATGTACAGTTGTGTGGTTAAAATCAGTAGGGAGCACCTTCTCGCTATGGACTATGGCAGTAACAAAATACCTCCGCTTGACCTGAACCTAGGGAGCTTTCTACCGTATGTCATTTGTAAAACGATTGACCAGCATTGTCTCTATAATGTCAGACCTAGACTTGCACCTTGTTATAAGAAACGGAGTAGACGTGGCGGAAGAAAAATCCTTCGGAGAATCAACACACACATAGCTTTCAGACCTAACAAGACTGTTAGGAAGAACCGTCTGAACTTTAACAATTTAATCCAAATTCAGTTATGTAAGCGACTTGATTTTACTAATGTTGCATTTCCGAGGATTTTACTTGAGAATGTTAGATCGATTAACAACCAATCTGCAATGGTCTGCCACCACTTAACTTGTGTAAATTGCCTACGTATCTACCTGCACCTGGACCGCCTCCAGTTATTCATGTTTGGGAAGTTAAGAAAAAGCTTGATAATCTCAAACCATCTAAAGCTGGCCATCCAGACGACCCACCAGTTCGTTTGTTAAAGGACTTTGCCCCTGAATTAGCCCCGCCTATTACCGAAATTTTCAATACAGCTTTGCAGCAAGGAATATTTCCTGAAGTGTGGAAAGGTCTACTACTGTCCCGGTGCCCAAGGTTAAGAACCCTAGCTCGCTATTAATGATCTCAGACCTATCTCGCTTACGCCCACCTTGGCAAAAATTTTTGAGTACTTCATTTTACAATGGATTCTTTCTGACATTAATGATAAATTTGACAAAATGCAATTTGGAAGCAGGAAACAAAGCTCTACGTCATATTACCTCATTAGTCTTATCGACACCATTCTTAAAGACATTGAAAAGAATGGTTTTTATGTTAATTTATGCGTGATTGACTTTATGAAAGCTTTCGATCGAGTTGATCATTCCGTAGTTATCAATAAGCTTACTGATCTGGGGGTGAGATCGTCGAATGTCCCCATCATCTGCAGCTTCCTCGGTGGGCGTGTCATGAGCACCAGGTTTGGTGGGTCAATATCTCCTTACATTCCGATTAGCTGTGGAGTACCCCAGGGTACTTTGCTAGGACCTACCCTTTTCCTGGTGTTGATTAATGATGCACTCACTGAGTGCTGTAGGAGGTGGAAGTACGTCGATGATCTCACCCTTGGGGGAAATTGTTGCCAGGAATGCCGAACCTACCATGCAGGTCCTTTTGAATGATGTTAATCAATGGTGTATGTCGAATAGCATGATACCTAATTCTTCTAAATGCCATATTATGACGATAAATTTTTTCAAATTTAAAACGGATGAAATGGTTTCTCCAAAATTTGAAATCAGTGGTACAGTCCTAGATGTTTAAGATCACTTAAGGCTACTTGGGGTTATTATTCAGAATAATTTGAAGTGGGACATTAATACTGATGATATTGTTGCCAGAGCCTCTAAGCGTTTGTTTGTACTGTGCATTCTTAAACGTGCTAATGGAACTGTTGATGATCTCATCAGTGTTTATAAGGCTTATATTAGACCCGTGCTTGAGTATGCAGCTCCTGTATGGCATGGTGCGCTAACCCATCATAATAGGAATGCTATTGAACGTGTACAGAAAAGGGCATTCAGGATTATTCTGGATAAAGATTACAATAATTATGTTAATGCATGCAATATTTTAAATGTGCCTACTTTAGAACACAGAAGAAATGTACTTACCTTGAACTTAAGTAAAAAACTTCTTAAGTCTGATACTTTTAGAGGATTGTTACCTAATTACCACTTGCCTACTAGAAATCTAAGAACATACCAATTGCTGAAAGTGCCAATTATGTAAACATGAGAGGTATAGAATTTCACCAGTTCCTACTATCGTTAACTTCTAAACAATGACTATGCTGCTTCTTATTGATGTTTTTCGCTTTTCTTTTTCTTTTTTTTTTTTTTGACTAAATTTTGCTGTTTTTTAATGTGGTTTTTAATTATTCTAGTTATTTTTTTTTCAATTTTTAACTGTTTTATTCTTGTATGACTCGTGCTTGCCTTTGTGCAATATTTCATGGTTTTTATATCTTTATATAATTGTAATTAATATTTTGTACATACAATTTTTTTAGCCTTTGTGCTACCAATAGTATTTTGATGTTTATACCGAAATAAATAAATAAATAATAAACAAAACAAACCTTTACCACCAACATCTTCACCAAGGAATTTTCCAGATACCAGAGTGAACAGAAATGTCAATGAGTTGGTGACAGGTACTGCTAATGACAAATCTTTTGAAAATAAATAACGAAAATAATGTTTTAAAATGTTGTATATTAAAGCAAATACTGAAAAAAACAACAATGCTATGGCTAGTGATGGCTGGATCACAGTCAAGATATAAAATTGATAAGCAAGCTAAACTGAATATTTTTGGTAGCCACTTCAACTTACCCATCGTAGCTAAGGTTAGATAATATAGAACTGATCCACATTGGTTGAGTAGAAATGGAATCAAATACTAAAAGAGAAAAAGAAAAATGTGCTGTTGGATAATGCCACTAATGTTTTATGAAATTGTTTTGAACCCAGTGGGATTCGAACCCAACAATCGGGTGGTTCTATTAACTGATCTATGAGGAAAAGTTGCATTCAGTTAGAGTACAAGTTTATGTTATTAGACTGCAAGAAAGGCAATAGAAACATAATGTGATAATTCACATTAAGGGTTAGGCAATTTCAACAATTTTAATGTAGATTGATTTACTCTTTTGTGTAATATTAATGGATAATTTGATTACATTAAGTTATGTAAAACTTTTCTTGCAGTTCGGTGTTTGAAACAGCTTCTTTTGGTTAAGCTCAAATGTTGGCATCAAATTATAAGAAGGTACCTTCCAATTAAAAAACAAAAACTTCAACTCTGCCAAGAACTGCCTTATTGCATTCCTTTCTTTGATTTCCTCAATGCCTGCACCTCCTTTCTTGATAAATGGGTTTGTTCCGCCCCACAGCACAGCAACAAAAGTTAGCCACAAAATTTCATACATTTTTCATCCAAAAAAAAAATGCCTGGAAAATACAATTGGTAAAGAAATATTCTTTTCATATAGTTCAATCAACTACAGTACATAGGTCTACACAGAGCAACTGATTACAAAAAATACATTAGGGTCGGTGAGTGGTCAGTGGCAGTGCCAGCAGGGGAAATGTCCCCTACCGGACAGGTCAAGGCCCCCTGTTGGACAGAGCTCATCGGGCAGTCAGACCATAAAACATATAAAATAGGCCCACATTAAGCCAACACGTGTGTCAGTCTGAGAGTGCCATTTCCAGCCATCCAGAGGTTGCTATTCGTAAAAAAAATTTCATTTGGGGGGGGGGAACCCCTCTCAACTCAACCCTTCCCCCCCCCCCCCGGGCCTACGAGCTCAATTCCCCCTGCCTGTCAGACAGCTTAGGCCCCCCCCCCTCCACAAGAAAATATACCCTACCACTGTGATGATTATCATCAACCCCTCCCCCAACCATCAACATCTCTTCACTTGTTTGGCTGGTATGGTTACAGTATGTAAAATTAATATTATATTATTAGGCCTAGGCCTAGCTAGCCTAGCTATAGGGCCTAAAGGCCTAGACCTACAACCTTGGTTTGGGTCTAGGCTAGGCCTAAACTTTAGTAAAGCTAGAGTATGCCTACTGTAGGCCTACCTTACCTACTGACACAGATTTATGCATTCAATCCTCAGCTACCGGACTCATCCTAGGCTCCGGTAAGAATCCAGTCAGGCCCACCCACCAACCTAAATATTTACATGTTTGTTTGTTTTATACTCCGATATAGCCCGTGGGCTTAGACTTTTCTAGGGCCAAGAAAAGGGTGCAGGTCAACTCAATCTGGGTGCAGGTCAACTCGGCCACAAGTCAACTCGGCCACAGTCAACTCGGCAACAAGTCAACTCGGCCACAAATCAACTCGGCCACAAAAAGTTCGGCTGCAGTCAACTCGGCCACAAGTCAACTCGGCCACTAGTTAACTCGGCCACAAGTCAACTCGGCCACAAGTTATTTATAAAATTAAAATGAAATGTAAATACGGTATTACAGTTTCTGCATCCTTTTTCTTCAATATGATTAAAATGAAGTACACAGTATATTTTAGTAAAATTCTGATCATCGTCACATCGTGAGATCGTTGTATAAATTTCTTCACAGATTATGGAATAAAATCTGACAATTGTAACATTAACAATTTAAGCAATCTTAATAATTAAGAAAAACACATATATTAATGTTTAATTTTGTTCACGTTAAAACACTGACATAAAACATGAGTACATACTGTAGACGTAATCATAAAAAATTGAAATAGAAAAACCACATTATGATTTTTTTAAATGTTAAAAATTTATTTTGAATCCGACTAAAATCAAATGAATGCACGATGGCGTGCATTTTGATACTATTTTCTTCAGAACCACGCCCAAGAATTAGGCCTACGTTAAAATTAGGTGGGGTACAGCATCTGATATCAATTATCCACAATAGGAACAATTGGTATTGTTGAGTGACAGACTTCAGTCCTTCATATTTGTTCGACCATTGGGGGATATGTTTGAAACCCGTCAGTGACAAGGATGCATCAAATTACGTGATTCACCAGTGACATGTCGGTCCTTTTCAAATATTTACTTTAATAATACTAATTAGTCATAATAATGATAATAAATTGATAACAACAACAATATTAATAGTAATATTTATTTTAACAATACAAATAGTAATAATATGGTAATAATAACGATATTTAAATATTTTAATAATACTAATTAGTGATAATAACATTGAAGGTGATAATAGCAATAATAACAGCAATAATAAATTAAAGATAACGTTTATTTTTATAATAATAGTAATACTAATTAGTAATAATAATAATTATGATACTTATAATACTAGGCCTACTTAGTAATAATAGGGTAATAATATCGATATAAAGGTGACAACAACAACAACAACAACAACAACAACAACAATAATAATAATAATAATAATAATAATAATAATAAGAGAAAAATACCAATAAAACACCAATAACAATATTTTTAAAATTACTATTATGAAAATAATAATACTAAGACTAATATATAATAATAATATGAATTTAAAAAATCGAGAATTTTGTATTATTTATATGGTAACAATAATAATAGCAAAAATTTAAACAATACATAATATTAATGCTAAGACTAATAATTAATATTAAAACTAACGGTAATAAAAACAAAAATAATAATAACAATGACACCAATAATAACAGCAATATTATTGTGGCCGAGTTGACTTGTGGCCGAGTTGACTGCAGCCGAACTTTTTGTGGCCGAGTTGACTTGTGGCCGAGTTGGATCGAATTCAGCTAATTCTGTACACTCTCCCCTTCGTGGATCGTGGTCCCTGAAACGCTATTTCAATTCAGGTCATGTTCGATCTCCATAACCGCGCTACGTCTGTTTGGAGTCTACTATTTCATTTCGGGTCGATAGGGGTGAACACAATTATTTATATATAATTCATTATTTAACATATAATTGACTAGATCACCCATTATTTATATATAGTGCATTTACCTCTAAAAGATATATATATATATATATATATACTGTCTCTTATACACATACATATATATATATATATATAAATAATTGCGTTAACGTTTTATTATTTATATATAATTAGTTTACTGGATTACATTATATATAAATAAGGAAGGGGAAACACATCATTATATATAAATAATGAAAAATAACTTACAATTATTTATATACAATAAGTTCACTGATTCCATTATATATAAATAAAAAAATGTAAAAATGTGAAAAATGTGAAAATGTAACAAATCATTATATATAAATAATGAAAAGTAACTTACAATTATTTATATATAATAAGTTCACTGATTTCATTATTTATAAATAACGAATTGACTTCAAACTCATTATTTATAAATAACTGCTTTTACATTTCATTATATATAAATAATAGCTGTCGCAAAACCATAATGCTTGGACTTCAAACTCATTATATGATGCACACGTGTTATCGTGTCAAGGTCATTATATCTAAATAATGGTTTTTACTTCCAATTATATATAGGCCTAAATAACCGTTGAAGTCGAGTGCCATTATATCTAAATAATGACATCGTAGGAAATCCGCCCCTGTTACAAGTTTCAACAGTACAGTAATAATGACATCACATCATACCAATTTTCTTCTAAAGTTCAAAACCCACTGTTTTTTTTTTAAATTAATTGTGGAAAGGATAACATTGACTAAGTTAGTATAATTTAAGATATATCATTATTTTTATGAATGTGGGTATGTGTGTTTGTTTATTTATTTATTTATTTACTCAAAGATAGAGATGGCAGGCTATAAAGGAAATTCCTATTCCCAATAGGATTCACTTACCATATACATTCAGAACAAATAGAACTTTATTATTTGTTAACCTAAAAATCCATTAAATACGACTTGCTATACATAAGGCTATAGGCGTCGTCCCCGTCTTCCCCGGAACCGGCTGGGGCTTTCCCCCTGCCTCCCAGGCAAAGCTTGAGCAAATTTTTAGCTCAAAAATAGAATAGAAATTTTAAAGTAATTCGTATATAATTCGCACAGGTTGTTGTTCGCACAAGTGGATCTTCTTCCGCTCGAACTAGCATCCGCTCGAAAAAAAAATCAGCTCGAATTCGCTCAAATTGGCCTTCGCTCGAAGTGGCATCCGCTCGAATTGACTGGTTCCCAGGCTGGGACATGAAAGGTTGTTGTTTGTTATTTCGCAATTCGCGACGTCATCCAGGAGTACAATACATTCAATCCCGTAACATGATTGGTCTATTTTTTTCTAATTTGCATAATGAATTTTTCCAACATTTTTGTCTATTTAAAAAAAAGTGTGTAAGTTATGGAGATGGTAACAATCATAGATCGATTATAAATTTATTTATACATTTTTAGACAAAAAATAAACCCTCTTGGCCCACGGCCCATTTTTTTTGACACCATGACCATGCGTAATATTAACCTGCAGTGTATATATACGAAGAATTTTTTCTAGAAGGATAAGAGTTGACTAACTGGTACTTGGTGTGGTACTAGGTTTATCGCATTTATGGCTTAGGGGCCGCGGTTTACCTCCCTCCGTTTAGTCATGCTGGATCATGAGTAGTAAACTCGGCGATCGTGGGTTCGATTCCCACACGGGGCAAATTTTTTTAAATTTTTTTTATTTATTTTTATTTTCTTTTGAAGGTCGTGGGTTCGATTCCCACACGAGCCAGTTTTCTTCTTTTTTTTTTTATGTTTTTTAAGGCAGTTTAGTTGATGGTGGATAATGATAGCAAACCTGGAAGTTGTGTGTTCGATTCCCACACGAACCAATTTTTTTTTTTTTTTTTTTTTTTTTTTTTTTTTTTTTTTTT